AACTGCGATGGCGAGGAGCGGCGCAAGGACCCTCGCGGGGCGTCAGGAGGACGGTGGCGACACTTGTGTCACCTGGAAGAGACAGAGAACAGAGACGTGGAAGTGGCCGGTGTTCTGAACCCCCGAACCGCCTCCGCTGCGCACACCTGCGGCGTTCAGCCTCCGCGGGCCCCGGGGCCTCACCGACAGCACACTCAACCGAGCGCCGCCATCTTGGATTTCACCGGACGTCGCCGGCCTCCCAGGACTACGGCGCAGGCGCCAGAGGCGGTACCGGATGTGGCGAAACGCCTCCATTTCCTGTTTTTATTGGTCGCGCTGGGTTCCTCTTGTCGAGTCGTGTGATTTCTTCCCGAACGCCTCTACTTTCTCTCAGTGATTGGCCAGAGGGTGGTTTCCATAGTAACTGTCACCACACTCCGCTTTCCCTCCCTGAGCACTGACCGGCCCTGCTAACAGCACCTTTCAAGGGGGCATCTAGGTGGGCACTTGCATCTTATTACGAATACGCGTATCTTCTCCGTGGTTGGAGGGTGTCTGAAATTGTTACCTTCCTTCTTCCAGTCCTTTTTCCTTCCAAAGCCGCCCTAGCAACGGTCACCACGGAGGAGGGCGGAAAGACGCCCCACCGCGGATTGGCTGCGTCCACCCCCAGGGCCGCATTGATTGGCTGAGAATCGCGGGCGCGCCAGGACTTAGCAGTCGTTGCGGGAGATCTGTACTCCAAACCTGGCCCTGGGAGTCTGCACCGAGGACAAGATGATTAGCTCTAAGTCCAGCCACGTCCTAGGAATGAGGGTGCCGTCGGAGTCTGAACACCTCTCTGAACTGCAGCGGGAATTAGAGAAGGGTCGCAGCTCAGTGAGTGGATTAACCATGAGGAGCAGAACGGGGACACGGAGCGATTCGGTCACCGCGGCCTCCGCCTCTGTGGGGATGGACGACCCTACAGCCAACTTGTTCCCGGTGAGAGCAGGACGCAGCGATCCGTTCGTGAATGTTTATAATAGCCTTACCCTTGGCCGGGTGCCCAGGGGCTCACGTCTGTTATCCTAGCTACTCAGGAGGCTAAGATCTGAGGACTACTGTTCGAAGCCAGCCCGGGGCAAGAAAGTCCAATTGACCGGGAAAATGATAGAAATGAAGCTGTGGCCAAAATGGTAGATCGCTAGCCTTGAGCAAAAACGCCCAGGGACAACGTGCAGGGCCCTTGGTTTTGTTTTTGATTTGTTTTTGGTCGGTCGTGGGGCTTGAACTCTGGGCTTGGGCCCTGTCCTTGCACTCTTCAGCTCAAGGCGAACGCTCTGCCGCTTGAGCCACAGCGCCACTTCCAAGGGCCCTTGGTTTTTATGCCCAAACAAAAACCTGCCAGGTTTCATTACATTTAGTAACTTAATTCGGGAGCTTTCTCCAATCACTCTGGTAAAATGAGGTAAGGGTGTGTGTGATCAGATTGTTAAAATGCTATAAATAATACTTAGGGCTTGTGAAACCCAGTGCTGCCCTCTTTGTCCTGTAGTTCCAGAAATGAGAAAGCACGCAGTGCTTAGCTCCACTGGAACTTCACAACCCATAGGGGACAAGTACCTCAATCAACTCACCTTCTTTCCACAGCCACCGTTGCCCCAGCCTGCAATCTGCATGTGGTGAGTGTGAAGAACTTTGGGGAAAAGTTACACTTCATACATGCATTATTCCTTTAGTGACCCTCCCCTCCCCCCCCAACCAGTCCTGTCCAGGGCAGTCCCAGTTTACAGATGAGACTGAGGCTACAGTTGCAATTCTACATTTTCCCAGACTCCTCAGTCTCAAGTAGTAATGAGAGCAAACAGACAAGGACTGAGAGTGTAAATGAGTCCACAGTAGAGATTTCACCAGGATCCTACAGTGAAATAGTTGTAGAGACAGTAACTCACTTCCTAGCTATACACTTTTTTTTGGGGGGGGGGGATCAGGCCATGGGGCCTGAACTCGGCCTGGGCGCTGTCCCTCAGCTCTTCAGCTCAAGGCTAGCGCTCTACCACTTGAGCCACAGTGCCACATATGGCTTTTTTCTTTTTGCTTATGTGGTGCTGAGGAATCGAACCCAGGGCCTCATGCGCTCTACCACTGAGCTACCTTCCCAGCCTGTAGCTATACACTTTATAAATGGAGAAAATTCTTAGGTATCATCTAGGCCACATCTCTCATTTACTCAAATGAAGCCCACAGAGCTAAGTGACTTGCCAAAAGTTAAACACGGTGTTACCAAAAAGCTCAACCTTAAAACTTAGATCCTCCTGATTTCCAGTCTGATGGTGTAGTAACCAGATAGTCCTGTTATGAAACATTTGTATACTAGCCATCAATTCTGTTTCTCCTTTTCATCTGACAGGAAATATCTGGATATTCATTCCATGCAAAGGCTGGAGAAGACAACCACCCTAGAGGAGATGAGGGAGTATGGGACTATACAGGGAGGGGGCAGGGAAAGCGTTTAGGGAGGGAAGATGTGATGAATGTAGGGTAATGACTTGTCACTCCTTCCTTTCCCTCCCAAGGGTACTGGCTGAGCTCTTGGAGCTTGGCAGTCCTCAACAGAGCCTGCGGGATGCCATCACCCTGGACCTCTTCTCCTACGCACTCATCTTCTGCCGCCAGCAGGGCTTCTCACTAGAGCAGATGTCAGCGGCTTGTGCCATGCTCCAAGATCTTCACAAGGCCTGTGTTGGTGAGAGGGAGGTGGCTACCAGAAAGTTTTGAGTTCCAAGTTGGGCTGGCACAAATGACCATGGGCAGAAGTAGGGAGATTACCACCTTGAATCTTTGTTCCGCCATTACTAACTGCATGCCAGTTATTGCCTTTGAAATCCTGTTTTCTTATCAATAAGTTACACAGCACTAACTTTGTGGGACTGCTCTGAGGCATATGTAAATGTCTGCCATTGTGCTCAATAAAATAGTTTTTATATATTTTCCCTCTTGAGGATGTTTGATAATAGCTGAAATATTATTCCCTAGTTTACTTATCATTAGAATATAAGCTTCCTAAAGGTAGGACTTTGTCTTCTTGAGTGCCTCAAACAGTATGTAGCAAGGGTCAGTTAAGTAAGTTTGAGGGAACAAGCCAGACTTTAAGCTTAGCTCTGTCCACCATTGAAGCTCACATTGAAGTTTAAGAGATGAAGGGATTAAAAAAAGAGGGAGAACTCATGGCTGCACCTTGCTTTCCCTACCAGCAACCCCTTTGGGCAACGTGGAGGAATGCTACCGCTACTTTACCAGTGTTCTTTTTTGCCATGGAGTCAGGGTCAGTACCCTGGAGTACCCATCACCCTTTCCCAGACAGGGTCTAACCTAATTTCCTGCTCATCATGCTTCTTTGAAGGCCATCACCCTGCTCCTAGATAGCTGGGCTCTTAGAAAAGGGCCAGGCTTCAGGAAGCTATTGACACTCTAACTCCTAGTCCTTAACCACAGCGCCCCCCCTTCAGCATTGACCTCTTTAAGGAGGAACAGCTGCTGGCACTAGCCGACTATGTGGTCAACACCTACTTCCGCCACTTCAAGCTCTACAAATACGTCTTCACACCCCAGGTACTGGCAATGGGCTTGCAAGAGGCTGTCTCTATCTTTCCTTTTTTTTTGAGTCCAGTCATGGGGCTTGAACTCTGGGCCTGGGCGCTGTCCCTCAGCTCTTCAGCTCAAGGCTAGCGCTTTACCACTTGAGCCACAGCACCACCTCCGGCTTTTTTCTTTTTGCTTATGTGGTGCTGAGGAGTCGACCCCAGGACCTCATGCATGCAAGGCAAGCGCTCTACCACTGAGCCACCTTCCCAGCCCCTCTATCTTTCCTTTTCTCTCAGGGCAGGTGCCTTTCTCTTAGCCTCCTTTTTCCTGTCTCTTTCTAGGTGCGGCTGGATCTCTCTTTGGCTTACATAGGGCTAGAGCCGTGTAAGCCCTGGCTAGAGGGTAAGATGTGTACCAGAGTAGAAGGGCAGAGGCTAGGCCATGGCTGGGGCCAATGCCTCTTCCCACTTCTGGTTTACAGCGAAAGAAGGCAGCGGTGAAGAGGAGGTGGAGGAAGAGCCAGTTATCCCAGAGGCAGAAGAACCAGAGGAAGAAGTGGAGCTAGAGCAAAAGACAAGTGAGTACCAGGGGTGTCAGGGAACCCTGTAACTCAGAGCCATTGTGAAAGAACGGATTTGCACCATTTCAGTGTCCTCTCTGATTCCTAATGCAGAAGTCCACAATGACAAATAAAAGCACCTGCTTCTGGGAGGGGGTAGGGCAAAAGAGGTGGCTGCAGGAAGAGGATGATTAGAAAACCATCAACAACAATACCAACAGAGATCTGGTGACACTGTGTACCAAGTCCTACATGCTAGATCTCAAGACTATTCACATTTTACCTGGAGTGGAGAAGATCACTAACCTGCCCAAGGCCAAACAGCTAGTCAGGTAGCTATTAAGCTACCAGGATCAGCAGCTGGTCATCCCAGAAGAGGTTGCTGCTGCAGGGAGCGGTGCTGTGATAATGCCTTCTAGAATCTGATTCCAAAAGTCCAACATAGCTGTTGTGCCCAATTGTGGCTCACAGAAGGGCCTGGCTGACATTTCCTAAGTCACAGCAGTATGTCTTCCTATGTAGCCTGTGGGATTGTTTTTCCATAGCTAGGGACAAGTATCCCCTACTTGTTACTTCTCCTCCACCCCTGCAGACAAGGTCTGTACCCTCCAAACCTACATCAAGACTCAGCTGAATAAGGAGTTGGGACAGCTCCAGCAGGTGATGGAGGAACAACTTAAGGCCAGTGAGGACAGGCTTAACAGCAAATTGAATGCACTGGAGCGACCCAACCAGCCACCACCCAGCAAAGGCAAGAACAAGACAAAGTGATCTTCAGAATTCTCACCAATAAAAACCTGGGCCAGAGCGCCCCACACTCAGCCTTTCTCCTAAGCAACCTTCTAGGCTTCACTGTGGAAGACAGGAAAGATAGCAGACCTGGGACACTTGCTTTCCCTGGCGTGTAGCAGATTTTATTTCAGACGCAGTACTGACAAGGCTGAGCATGGTATTCTGAGTGGCTTCTTTCCACTCCAGCTCTGATCTGCAAGTATCGGCCTGAGGGGGTAGGTATACTGGGGGGTTCTCTACAGTAGCCTGATCAGTGAGGGGCCTAGCTAGACAAGGGGGGTCCTGAGGCCAGACCTTGACAGACTCTCCTTTTGGAGAGTCGTGCTTCCTGAGACTTCTCATGGCTGAGGTGCTAGCTCAGCGCCAGTGCAGCCTCATCTTCTGTGACAGCAGTGGAGTCCGCTTCCTCTTCAGTCCCCACGAGGGGAAAGGGCCCAGGGGGCCGGTGCTGGAAGAGGGCTGCCCGGTTCTGCTGTTCACCCTTCTTCACCCAGTGCCCATAGAGCCGGAAGGCACAGTTGTCAATGAGGCGCCGCACTGGCCGCAGCGCATAGGGGTCCCTCAGCAGTGCATTCTTGGTCAGCGGTCGTATACGGTGGGTACTTAAGGCTACTCGTCCAGCAGCTAGCACTGTCCACACTGCCACCTGAGAAGGGAGGCAGTGTGAGCTCCAGTGGAACATCCAGCCCAGAGATGTTTGCAGAATAGGCAGATGTAGACCCTGCCACTCTATGTCTTACCCGGAAACGCTGGCGAGGTGTGAGGTTCCAGATTTGACTGCCTTCACAGCGCTCAAAGAAAGGGTGCTGTAGGGCCTGCTCAGCTGTCAGGCGCTCCTCAGGATCCACCTGTAGTAGCCTTGAGATCTAGGGGAAACCCCAGAGCATGAGGGGCAGATCTTGGGCCTTCCCCATGGACCTCTTATGGTCCCAGCTCACCAGGTCTTTGACGGTGTTTGAGCGATCATCCCATTCGGGTGAACTAAACTGGTATTGGCCCTCCATGATCATGCGTAACATCAGGATCTGGCGCCGGTGCCAGAATGGTGGTGAGCCAGCCAAGAGTGTGAACAAGATCACCCCACAGGCCCAGCTGAGAAAGAGACCATGATTAGGATTAGGTAATAGGCAAATATAAAGGACAGTACACACAGAGGAGGGAGAGGGATGCCAGAAACTCACAGGTCCACTTCCTTGCCATAGCCTGGGTGGGTTTCATCCATGGAGCATTTAAGGATCTCTGGAGCTAGATACCCTGGGGTTCCACACAATTCTGGGGAGAGAGAGCAGAGACTGAAGGGGTTCAACAAACCTTCTCCAGGACTCTTAGCACCAGATCTCTGCTGGAACCTCCTTAACACTGCTGTCCCGTGTTATGATTCTGTTCCTGCTTGTGTCCTGCAAGCCTCTGAACTAGCCACTACTCCTGTTAAACAGCCCAAATACTGCCTATGGCCCCTGGTGGACTTCCTAGGAATGCCTGGTCCTACCCAACCATATCATTTGCCTCCTTTAACTTCCCAGTCAAGCTAGCTCTACCACTCATAAGGAGAGTCTACCAAAAGGAGAGTCTCTCAAGGTCTGGCCTTATTACCCCCTTGCCTAGCTAGGCCCCTTACTGATCACGCTACTGTAGAGAACCTCTCAGTACACCTATCCCCTCATTACATATGTAATACATATGGGAAGGCAATTTTATTTTTTACATTCCTTTCTGTCCTGTAATATGGAAGAACTAAGTGGAAATGTGGGACTTTTTAAAGAACATACTGGGTAAGGCCTTGTTTAAAACCCTCCCTTAGCTGGGTACTAATGGCTCACACCTGAAATCCTAGCTACACAGGAGGCTGAGATCTGAGCATCATGGTTCAAAGCCACCTGGGCAGGAAAGTTAATCTCCAATTAACTACCAGAAAACTGGAAGTGATGCTGTGGCTGAAAGCATTAGAGCACTATCCTTGAGCAAAAGGAGCTCAGGGCAGTATAGACCCTGAGTTCAAGCCCCATGACTGACAAAAATAAACCAAAATCAAACCCTCCCCTGATTCAGATTCAGATTTCCCATCTTGGTGTCAGTATGAAGTGTACGCTCATAAAGCCTTGAGCTTTCTATGACTTGATCAAATACTGTATGTTTTAGTTTCTTCTACCACTTCAAAGCACCAATTCTTCTGGGCGCCGGTGGCCACGCCTATAATCCTAGCTACTCAGGAGGCTGAGATCTGAGGATCTTGGTTTAAAGCCAGCCTGGGCAGAAAAACTCCGTGAGACTCTTATCTCCAATAAACACTCGAAAACCAGAAGTGGCACTGTGGCTGAAGTGGTAGAGCGCTCGCCTTGAGCTGAAGAGCGCAGGGACAGCACCCAAGCCCAGAGTTCAAGCCCCATGACCAAAAAAAAAAAAAAAAAAAAAAAGCACCAATTCTTCCATTCTAGTAATTTCCAAACTGTCCCATGGCACACTCCCAGGAAATGTTAACAGGCCTAAATTAAGAATGCCTTTCTTGCCGGGCGCCTGTAATCCTAGGTACTTAGGAGGCTGAGATCTTAGGATCGAGGTTCAAAGCCAGCATGAGCAGGAAAGTCTGTGAGACTCATCTCCAATAAACCACCAGAAAACCAGAAGTGGGTCAAGCAGTAGAATGCTTGTCTTGAGCTGAAGAGTTGAGGGACAGCACCCAGGTCCAGAGTTCAAGCGCCACAACAAAAAAAAGAAAAAAAAAAGCCGTTCTTGGGAAAGCCATTACATTCTTGGGAATTTTATTCCTACACCAAGTATTTATTGAATGTACCATTAACTCTATTAAAGACTCAGTAGTGAATATGCTCTTACCGAGCTCACTGTCTTCCAAAAAGCTAACAATAATAGAGTAAGATGTAGGTCATAAAGGAAGACTATATATAAGAACATAAAGCAGAGGAGGACTACATCACTTACGCCAAGGAAGGCAGTGGAGGAGGCAAAGTAGAGATGACTGTATAAGGAGGAAAATGTATGTGGAGCCCAGAGAGAAATAAAAAAACACAGCATTTGTGAGTCCATAGATGAATAGTATGAGCTTCGTTCAGACTGCCTAAGTTCAAATTCTGACAGAATGACCTTGGACAAGTCATCTTATAGCTTTAAAACAAGATACGTCTAGAAAGATACAAATTTTATCTCCAAGTGTTATTGAGAAGACTTACAGAAGCAAAATGTAAAAGGCTTGGTGTGGTTGTCTACATCAGTGTCTTGTATAGCTAAACTACTAATAGATCCAATAAAGCCCCTGAGGGACAGATAGAATACCAAAAGCTCTGAGAAGCTGGGTGATGGTGATGCATGCCTGCAATCCTAGCTACTGTACTGAGGAAGCTAAACCTGAGATCCTCAGGGAATCTCAGTTCAAAGCCAGCCAAGGCAGGATAGTTCAAAAGGCTATCTATCTACAGCTGGGTGCCAGTGGCTCACACCTGTAATCCTAGGTACTCAGGAGGCTGAGATCTGAGGATCACAGTTCAAAGCCAGCCCGGGCAGGAAAGTCCATGAGACTCTTATCTCCAATAAACTATTAGAAAACCAGAAGTGGTGCTGTGGTTCAAGTGGTAGAGCACTCGCCTTGAGCTGAGGGACAGCACCCAGGCCCAGAGTTCAAGCCCCACAACTGACCAAAAAATAAAAAATAAAAGGCTATCTCCAATTAACTAGCAAAACAAATCTGAACTGGTGGTATAATTCAAGCCATGAATAAAAAAAGGAGAACACATTGCCCTGAGTTCAAGCCCTGTTAGCAGCACAAATAAAAGCTCAAAAGATTCTCACAGTTGAGTTTTGCTCAAGATTTCCCATTTGCATTGGAACTACTTCTTGCCATAACCTTGGGTGAGGCTGTCTTCCGCTCCCTGCTAAGAAGTGATATCAGGTTATCTAGACTTGATCCGGGTCTTCACAATACTGAAAAGGCACACTGTGGTCTTATACAGACCCCAAACATGCTGCTGAGCCCTCCCTCTTGGGACAAGCCCAGCCACAGAGGTCCCTCCTCTGTATATCTCTCAGGTTCAATCAGTAAGCTTTTTCCTTCTAGCTTCCCTTTGCCAGCTGAGTACCCATCTCACTCCATCCTCCCAGATCAGGCAGCGCACTGAGTTGTACAAAAGGCTTTGAATCCAGAAGATACTTTGCCGGTGTTTGGGACTCAGTGCTCGGATCCAGCCAAACAACTTCAGGCTGAGTCTTGATCCCTCCCCAGCTTCTTAGGGACCTGGATCCCTCACCTCGAAGCTTCTCGCCAGGTTCCAAGTGGCAGGAGAACCCAAAGTCTGAAACCCGGATCTGCATATTGTCATCTAGGAGAATATTCTCAGGCTTCAGGTCTCGGTGCACAATGTTGTTGTCATGGAGAAAGTTCACTGCTTCCAGCAGAGACCTCATGATGGACCTGGGGGAGGTGCAATCTCTTCTGCTTCTCCTCACCCCAATTGTTACCCCCAACTCATCCCAGGGGCTGCAGGCTCTGCCCTTACCTTGTTTCCTTTTCTGAGAGAGCCACCTTCTCCGTGAGATAGTCAAACAGCTCTCCCTTCCGCATCCTAAGGAATAGGAGGGCCACAGGAGGAGAATATACACCCCCACAGAGGTGCTGAGAAAGTAAGCCAGTGCTCACATAAAATATCACAGAAAGGCCAGTGCCAAGAGATTCCCCTGAGGAACACTCACAGACAGAGCACTCTGGCTGGGTACTACTGGCTTATGCCTTTAATTCTGGCTTCTCTGGAGTCTGAGATCTGAGGATTGAAGTTCAAAGCTAGCCCGGGTAGAAAAGTCTATGAGGCTATCTCCAATTAACCACCAGAAAGCCAGAAGTGGAGCTATGGCTCAAGTGGTAGAGCACCAGCACCAAACTTGAGTGAAAAAAAGCTAAAGGATAGTGCTGAAGCCCTGAATTCAAGCCCCAGGACCAGCATCAAAAACAAAACAAAAAAAGCACTCTAGTAAAATGGATGACAGGGGCAATTTGGCTATTGAGTTGGCCAGAGTATGGATGATGTGGTGATGAGGCTACTCTAGCAAGAAATGATTCGTGACAGTAATTCACAGCAGTTCTTTTTTTTTTTTTTTCTCATTTTTCTCCTGATTTTATTTGGATTAATTCATTTAAAGTCAATTAGGAAAGAGTGGGAAATTAGGTAAGTAAAAACATTGTTTAAGTCACAGCAGGTTCTTATTATCTGAGAATAGCTGTACCTAAAAAGTATCTTAAAGTGGCTCTTTTGGTAATATAGACCAAGATTTCAGTTGCTACCAAAACAAACTACAGCTTTATTTTGAAATTGTGCTTAGTTTTTGTATCTTTAAAATTGAAGTTATAGCTGGGCACTGGTAGCTACTTGGGAGGCTGAGATCTGAGGATCACAGTTTGAAGCCAGCCTGGGCAGGAAAATCTTATCTCCAATTAACACAGAAAAAGCCCAAAGTGGTGCTGTGGCTCAAGGGGTAGAGTACTAGCCTTAAGCAAAAGGAGCTCAGGGAAAGTGCCCTGGCCCAAAATTCAAGCCTTAAAACCAGAAAAAAAAATTTTGAAGTTATAATTACAACTTGGAGTTGGGCACTAGTGGCTAACACCTGTAATCCTAGCCACTCAGGAGGCTGAGATCTGAGGATCACATTTTGAAGCCAGCCCAGGGAGGAAAGCCCATGAGATTCTAATCTCCAATTAACTACCAGAAAAACCAGAAGTGGTGCTGTGGCTCAAAGTGGTAAAGTTCTAGCCTTGAGTGTAAAAGTTCAGGTATAGTGCCCAAGCCCCCTGAGTTCAAGACCCAGGACAGACAAAAAATAAAAATAATAATACCTGCAACTCTGATTCAATCCTCAAAAGGGTCATTGTCTTGCAAAATTGTTAAGGTGGTATAATGGGACTACTTCTGAGAGTTGGCAGAAAATCATTTCTATAAACTAACTGAAGGCACCTTCAGAATGGGCCACGCACTGGCAGGGAGGCAGGTCTCTGCCTAGAACAGATACAGGGGGTTTGAGCACAGTGGTCTCACTAAGCTATAAGGCTGGAGCCATATAAAGAGGTGGGGAAGAGGCTTCTCAGACAGGGCAGGGTGATACTCACAAGTCAAACACCAGGAACATGAAGCTAGAAGACTCGTAGGAATCGATGAGAGTGACTGGGGAAAGAGGCAGAAAGGCAGAGACAGATGGAAGGAGAGATACATATTCCAGGAGGATTTCCACCCTGAAGCAACAGTGGGCTATTACTGGGAAGGAAGGCGGCAGTAGGGACCCAAAGTCTGGCCACACTCTTGGGAGGTGGCAGAAAGCCAGGAGGAAGAGAAGGAAAGGCCTAGAGGCAACATTGGGGTGTGGGCTGGGGGCAGGGCCAGTAAACAGTGGGGCTGTCAGCAAGAACAGGGGATGCAGCCTCACTGATGTGGGGGTGGCCAGCGACCTGGCGAAGAATGTGTGTCTCTCGCCGTGTGGCTTCCCGCACCTCCTCCAGTTGCTCAGGACTCAGCCGCTCAGCGGTCACCTCCATGATCTTCACTGCAAACTCATTACCAGTAGCTCGATGAACACAACGACGGACCACAGAGCTCACTCCTCTGCCAGAGTCAGACCACAGCACAAGTCAGGGTCTCATACAGATTAGAGCTTCAGCAGCCTCATACTCTCTGCACCAGATTCTAAAGACTCTGGACAAGGAACCACCTGAAAAACTCACCCTCACCTATAATAGCTTCATAGTCAGGCACTTTGCTAACCAAACAGAAGATCTGGGTTTAATCTAGGTTCCTCCACTCCCTTCATGGGTAAACCTAGGCAAGGCCTTTCTACACTGAGCCTCAGAACCTTTCCATTACAGGAAGGGGAAAGAAATCACCTGCTACTCATATTTCTCTGATCACCCCATCCAAATCCCAGAGTTCCCCTACAATACTTCAAATATAAAAGGAATCACAGAGACATGGAGTCTTTGGTAGCTGGAAGACCAAAGTTGAGAATTAGATCTTAGTTCAGCCCCAATTTACCACCAATTGACACAATGACATACAGTCTCTAGGCTTCAGTTCTGTAACTCTGAAATGTGAACGTGATCATCTTGAAAAGCATCTATAAGAAAGCCCATTGGAGGTTCACACTTATAATCCTAGCTACTCAGGAGGCTGAGATCTAAGGCTCAAGGTACAAAGCTACCTAGCTTGGAAAGCCCAAGAGACTATAATCTCCAATTAACTAATAAAAAGCCAGAAGTGGTAGAGCAGCAGCCTTGAGTGAAAAAGCTAAGGGACAGTGCCAGGCCCTAAAATCAAGCCCCATATCAATACCAACACACAAACATACATACACACTCACAGTCCATGGCTTTCTTTCTAAAGAGGAACACAAATTTCCTTGCTCAGACCACATCATCAACTCCATATGGCCCTACAAGTAGCTCAGGTTCAGGTGTAAATTGCTACACATTTCTTTTTTTTTTTTTTTTTTCGTCGGTCCTGGGGCTTGAACTCTGGGCTTGGACGATGTCCCTCAGCTCTCTAGCTCAAGGCAAGCACTCTACCGCTTGAGCCACAGTGCCACTTCCGGTTTTCTAATGGTTTATTGGAGATAAGAGTCTCACTGAGTTTTCGAACTGTGATCCTCAGATCTCAGCCTCCTGAGTAACTAGTATTACAGGCATGAACCACCAGCGTCCAGATTGCTCCACATTTCTTAGGTTGGTTCCTCAGCTGCCTTTTACATGGCCTTACTGCCTGCCATGTTTTCTTGGGACTCCCATGGATTTGCTCACCTACTAATTTGTTTAGAATTCTGTCATCCATCTAATTAAATCAGGGAATGAGAACTATTGCTTTTCAGACCAAACGCAGCAGCTCATAGGTATGTTCAGTTTTGGCTCTATCAAGTAGGACAGAACCTTTTAGCTTCTAGAATATCCCCCCTTCCTCCCTCTCTTCTTCCCTTCATCTTTTCCTCCCTCTACTTTCTTTTCTTTTTTTCCAGCCAGTCCTGGGACTGGAACTCAGGGCCTGGGCACTGTCTCTAAGCTTTGTTTGCTCAACACTCGTCCTCTACCACTTGAGCCACAGCACCACTTCTGGCTTTTTTTTTTCCTTCTGTTTATGTGGTACTGAGGAATCGAACCCAAGGCTTCACGCATGCTAGGCAAGCAATCTACCACTAAGCCACATTCCCTGCTTCCCTCTACTTTCTTGATTCCCACTTTAGTAATAGATTTAGTAATAAATTACTCAACTTTTCTTTTTCTTTTTCTTTTTTTTTTTTGTCGGTTGTGGCGCTTGAACTCTGGGCCTGGGCACTGTTCCTCAGCTCTTCAGCTCAAGGCAAGCATTCTACCACTTGAGCCACAGTGCCACTTCTGGTTTTCTGGAGGTTTATTGGAGATAAGAGTCTACAGTCTTTCCTGCCCAGGCTGGCTTTGAACCATGATCCTCAGATCTCAGCCTCCTGTGAAGCTAGGATTATAGGTGTGAGTCCTGGGAGTACAGCTTAGATTACTCATCTTTAAGGAGGTTTAAAGACACCTGAAATCATCCAATTAAGAATCCCTGCTTTAAGGCCTGAACTAAATGCTACCTCTACGGATTCTATGTTTATTTTTCAATAGGAAGAGACTACTTCCTCCTCTGGTATAATAAACTTTTTACCTTAAAAGCATTTGTTCTTGTAACCCCTCTGTACAGTATTTTCACAATAAAAAACTTATTTTTTTTTAAAAAAGAGCATTTGCTCTTTAGTAATTATGCCTTCCTACTATGTTTCATGATTATCCAGATCTTTGTATTCAAAGCCCAAATTGTTTCTCAGTGCCTTGCTCATGTCCTTAACTGTCAGACCTGGGACGTGGGTACAGTTCAATGATAGTATGCTTGCATAGCATGTACCAACATTGTATAATATAAACAAATAGCTGCACTAATCCTCGCTTACTCAAGAGCTGAGATCTGAGGATAGCAGTTTGAAGCCAGCCTAGGCTGAAAAGCCCTTGAGACTCTTATTTCCAAACCACCAAAAATCCAGAAGTGGGGCTATGGCTCAAGTAGTAGAGTGCTAACTTTGAGCAAAAAAGCTCAGAATTAGTGCCTGCACCCTGATTTCAAGCCCCAGGACCAGCACAATAAAATGAAATAAAATAACCAAAGCTAGGTATTGTGAAGCACAACTGTAATTCCAGTACTAAGGAGGGTGAGGCAGGAGAATTTTGAGTTCCAGCCAGGCTGAGCTACACAGTGGGTCTCTTGACTCACTCACTCACTCACTCAATCAATCAAATAGTACTTCCAGCCTAATTTCTTTATCATAGTATGTGTATTCTTACTTCTTAGCAAGATGTTTAAGGTTACTATCCTTTTGGTGTGTGTATGTATGAACCTAGAGATGGAATTTTGAGCCTCAGGCTAAGCAATTATCCTACACTGATCTCTTTCCTTGGAGTATATATATACTGCGAACTGAACTAAAAGCCTGGGTACTGTCCCTGAGTTTGCTGAGGGCTAGGACTCTACAAATTGCGTCACAGTTCCACTTCTACCTTTTTGGTGGTTAAATGGAGATAAGTCTCTCAGACTTTTGTGCCCAGGTGGGACTTCAAACTTTGGTCCTTAGATCTCAGGCTCCTGGGTGTCCAGGATTACAGTCATGAGCCATGGTTCCCTGACCCTTCTACTCTTATCATATTCTAGCCATTGGTGTAAGCCTTCATATTTACTGTTCCCTCTGCTAGGAATATCTCCTGTCTCAGTTTATGGTCAACCACTTCTATTCTTACTTCAAAACCCAGAGCATGGGGCTGGGAAGGTGGCTCAGTGATAGAGTATCTGCCTTGCATGCAAGCATAAGGTCCTGGGTTCAATTCCTCAGCACCACATACGCAGAAAATGCTCAAGTGGTGCTGTGGCTCAAGTGGTAGAACACTAGCCTTGAGCTAAAGAGCTGAGGGACAGTGCCCAGGCCCAGAGTTCAGGCCCCACAACCGACAAAAAATAAAAAACAAAACAACAACAACAACAACAAAAACAGAGCAAAGATCACAACTCCTGGCAGGTATGGCTTTTTGGAACGTCACAGCATTTGGCACGGACCCCTACCTATCTTGATTGTGTGTGTGTGTGTGTGTGTGTGTGTGTGTGTGCGCACTAGTCCCAAGGCTGTACTCAAGGGTCTGGGTGCTATCGCTGAGCTTTTTTGTTAAAAGTAGCACTCTACCACTTGATCCACAACTCCACTTCCAGCATTTTTTTGGTGGTTAATTAGAGATGAATCTCACATGACATTTTTGCCTGTATTGCCTATGAATCCTGATCCTCAGATCTCAGCCTTCTGAGTAGCTAGGATTACAGGCGTGAGTCATCCAGGTGCCCAGGCATCTTGATACTCTCTTTCAGCTACTTCTCTTAGAGAATTGAACATGTATTCTACTCCAATTCTAGTGCTTAGCTTCAGTATGATCCACAGTGGGGTGCTTTAATCACATTTGCTGAATACATAAATAAGTGAATTCGTGGAGTGGAGGGGAGAGGGTTAACTTAGAATACCAGTCTAGTTACTAAAGGTTCTCCACCGACCACTGACCTTTCCCATCTATCCAGCCCTCGGATGGAACTGTGTGCATCCTGGCTTGGACCCGACCTCTGAGGACCTTCGTTTTCCTGGCTGCGGCTCACCTGCCAATGACGTCCTTCGGATCGTACTTTTGGTAAAACTCCTTGGCCGCAGCCCAGTCAGGCAGCTCATCCTCCGGACCCACGTCCAGCGTCATTCTGAAGGAGGAGGGGGTCTGCGTGGAGGAAACCGAGGGCAGTGAGGGGAGGGAGGCCCACAGGTTCTGAGAGGACGCACATCGCGGCTCCCTGAGGCGCAGTCCCTGCGGCTGGGGCGCCAGGGTCCTGGGGGAATAGGGGCGGGGCAGGGGGAGGATGGGGCTGGGAAGACTCCACTGGAGGGTCTGAGGGCCGGGAGAGGGAGGGGGCAGGGGGAGGGAGGGGAGAAGGCGGCCAGGAAGAAGGGGGAAAAGGCTCAAGGGCGAGTGGCTGTTGCCGCGCAGGCGCACTTAAAGATCGCTGAGGGGGGGCGGGGGGCACAGGGTCTCGCGCAGACTCACCCGCAGGGGCGGCGACAAGATCGGGGTCTAGTTGAAGCCCCTCGGCTTCCGGGCCGCGTTTTAATCCTTGGCTTTCGCCGCAGGAGTACCCGGGACGACCTAAGGTTCCGCCCTCACCGTAACAGCCAATGGCCAGCGCTGCCGGAAGACTAAGGTTCAGAGATCCTTTGGATTGGAAACTAGCAGTCCAATTGGGAGCTGGAAGTCCTCGGGCTGGAGTGAGCATTGGAGTTCAAAGTTCCCTAAGGCCGCCACCACAGGGAAAAATCTCTGATCTAGCCAACCATCTACCGCGGAGGGCGGGGCTTGCCATCAAATGTCGTCAGCGGCCAGGAATGGGACCCGGAAGTTAGGTTTACCCGGAAGTGCCCACGTCTGGGTCGTCTGGAGGCTGACTCCGCCTGGCCGCCAGTTCCCGAATTTGGGCAGGCCTTTGACCCTTCTCTACCCAGCTTTCTTATCTGAATCTGAAGCAACAGGTTAGTTCAAAGTGCTCTCTTGGTGGGGACGCTAGCTGTTGAAACGCCCAGTTGCAGCTCAGACCCCTTTGGTCGTTTGGCGCGGAATTAAGATGGGCGAGAGAGCTGCCTGGTTCGGTGGCGGCAGCGGACGGGGATTACGCTTGCACCCTTCCCTCAAGCGCTCGGACTGTGTGAAACTGTTCTACGCACACGAGATTCTTCCCGGAGTGACTTCCGAAGCCAGCTCACTCCTGATATTCACTAAATACTCAACAAATAGTTGTGACTATCACCTAGGCACAGGCTAACAGCAATGAAAAAGGACTACTTGTGGGGGAACAGAATAAATTTCGTCTTTCAACAACGTTTCCAACACTTTGGAATCAACCACATAAAGGGACAAGAAGTTTAAGTTTCCTCATTGGTGATTTCACATACTGGCTTTGTGTTAACTGTATATTGTGTTGTTTTGTGTTTGGTTTCCATCCTGGGGCTTGAACTCAGGGCCTGAATACTGTTCCTTAGATTTTTTTGCTAAGGTTGGTGTTCTACCATTGAGCCACAGCTCTGGCTTTTTGGTGGTTAACTGGAGTTAAGAATCTTACTGGCTTTTCTATCTAGGCTGGCTTGCAACCTTGATCCTCAGATTTCATCTTCTTGAGAAGCTAGGATTACAGGCATAAACCACCACCGCTGTTTTATGTTCTTGAAGTGCTTAGGAATCAACTTGAGCATGTTAGACAGATGCTCTACCAAAGCTACATCCCCAGCACTATTAAACCTAAAAAAACTCTACAAAAAAAGCACACAAATAAATATACAGCTCAAGGGCCGAGGTGGCAGCTCATCTTAATCAAATCCCTACCACCATTAAAAAAAAAAAAAACAAAAACAAGCCAGGGGGCAGGGCGCCAGTGGCTCACGCCTGTAATCCTAGCTACTCAGGAGGTTGAGATCTGAGGACCTTGGTTCAAAGCCAGCCCAGGCAGGAAAGATTGTGAGACTCCTATCTCCAATAAACCACTAGAAAACCGGAAGTGGTGCTGTAGCTCAAGTGTTAGAGTGCTCACCTAGAGCTGAAGAGCTGAGGGACAGCACCCAAGCCCAGAGTTCAAGCCCCATGACCGACAAAAAAAAAAAGCCAGGTGCTAGTGGTTCACACCCGTAATCCTAGCTCCTCAGGAGGCTGAGATCTGAGGATCTCGGTTCAAAGCCAGCCCAGGCAGGAAAGTCTGTGAGTCTCTGATCTCCAATTAACTACCAGAGAACTGGAAGTGGTGGTGCAGTCACTCAAGTGGTAGAGTGCTAACCTTGAGCAGAAGAGCTCAGAGAAAGCACCCAAGCCCAGAGTTCAAGCACCATGACCAACAACAACAACAACAAAAAGAATGAGCACACTATAAAAGCCAGTTTGGTTAGGCTTCTAACATGTCAGCTCTCTGGCCAAATGACACCTATACTGTCTTTGGATACCATATGGAGCCCCTCAACTGTGTCCAGAACCATGATCTGAATCAAAGGCTCAAGAGAAAGTGTGCTTGTTAACTTTTCCAGCCCCACTTTTCCCTCTCAGATCTGGAACCAAACTGTCTTGGTTCAATCTTGTTCTGCCTTTTTTTTTTTTTTTTTTTTTTGTCATGGGGCTTGAGCTTAGGGCCTGGCCTCAGTCCAGCTATTTTTTTTTTGGGGGGGGGGGGGGGTATGGGGGTCTGGTCGTGGGCCTGAACTCTGGGCCTGGGCGCTGTCCCTCAGCTCTTCAGCTCAAGGCTAGTGCTCTACCACTTGAGCCACAGCGCCACTTCTGGCTTTTTTTTCCTGCTTATATGGTGCTGAGGAATTGAACCCAGGGCCTCATGCATGCAAGGCAAGCATGTACCACTGAGCCACTTTCCCAGCCCAGTCCAGCTATTTTTACTCAAGGCTAGCACCCCACCACTTTGAACCACAATGCCACTTCCAGTTTTTGGGGACTAATTGGAAATAAAGAGTCTCAGGGATTTTCCTGCCTGGACTGGCTTTGAACCATGATCCTCAGGATCCTCAGATCTCAGTCTCCAGAGTAGCTAGGATTACAGGAGTGAGCCACTGACACCAGCTTGTATCAGCCTTTTATTAGCTGAATGATCTTGATGAATCTGCACCTATAGTCTCAACTATAAAGAATAATAGAAACTACTACTGAATCGTTACTAGGAGGGAAGAAACAAAGTACTTTATTAGAACACAGCCTGACAGTACTCTGAATAGTAGTTACTGCTACTGTTTTTCCTTTCTGGCCTCAAAGTCTCTGTTTATGTATAAAGAAGCTAGGGTTTTCACAATAAGGGAAATTTGCCAAAGAAACAAAATCCTTCCTTCCTTTCTCTTGGAGCTCCTAGGTAGGTGAGGCTTAGAGGCCAGGTGCAGGCTTAAGCTATCAGTCAGATGTTCAGTCTGACTCTCACCAAAAACCCAGGGAAAAGAAAAAAGCAATTAGACTGGAACATTTTTACCAACAAAAAAGGTTTGTTTGTTCTTTATTATAAAACATCTAATAAAATCAGGCCTGGTCTTCAATCATTTCTGGGTGGAGGCCCCTAGGATGTAGTGGGGTAAGGGAGACAGAAGGTAAGGGCACTGGAAGAACAGAGTAAGTGGACCTCTCCTCAGTCTCAGCTGCTGCCCTTCTTTTATAAAGGGCTAGATGAGCTCTTTCAAGGGCCTTTGAGACAGGTACCATCCTTCCAGCCAAAAGGACCACAGCTGTCACCAGAACTGAGCAGTGCTGCACTATCCAACTGGATTCAGGCGGTCTCAGCTGACACTCAACAGAGGCCACACTGGGTCACTCAGCCTGAGCGATGGTGTAGGAGAGCAGCCACAGCAGCAGGGGACCCAGAACAAGGACAGCAAGCCAGACAGCAAAGCTAGCCAGGATGAGCCTCCGGGACTTGGCCCCCCAGTGCACTGCTTCCTCGGACCGGCCTGCCTTATGCCGCTCTTCTGCCTGTGGGGGCAGGTTCTTGGTTAGGTTCTTCCCCTGCTTCTGCCCCAAAGTACCCACCGTCCCGCTCCACTCCACCATCCACCACAGCTTATAACCTCACACTCTAACATATTACCTTCCTTTCTAGTATGTCTCTCATACCTCATCTGCAAAGTAAAGGTATATATCTCTGCCCTGCCTACTTTCCAAGGTGGCCCTGGTTAGGTTACAAAGTCCCACATTGTGTGTGTGCCTGTTTGTGCATTGCTAGGGATTAAACCCAGGACCTCCTATATTCCCAGCAAGCATTCTACTACTTAACTACATCTCCAGCCTGAAAAGTACCTCCCTTTCCTTGGTACTGGGGACTGAACTCAGGGCCTTGCATCTACCATTTAAGCTATCCTCTAGCCCTTTTTGTGTTGTTTTTGAGACAGAATCTCAGTATCTTAATCCAGATTATTTTTGTGCCAGTTCTAGGGCTTGAACTCAGGATCTGGGCACTGTTCCTTAGCTTTTTTTGCTCAAAGCTAGCACTTTACCACTTGAGTTACAGCTCTACTTGTAGGTTTTCTTTCGTTGGTCATGGGGCTTCAACTTTGGGCTTAGGCACTGTCCCTGTGCTCTTCAGCTCAAGGTGAGCACTCTACCACTTGAGCTACAGCGCCACTTCCAGCTTTCTAGTGGTTTATTGGAGATAAGAGTCTCGTGGAGTTTCCTCCCTGGGTTGGCTTTGAACTGAGATCCTCAGATCTCAGCCTCCTGAGTAGCTAGGATTACAGGCGTGAACCACCGGCGCCCGACTTACTTCAAAGTTTGGGTGGTTAATTAGAGCTAAGAATTTCTTGCCTGGAGTGGCTTTGAACTGGGATCCTTTAAAATCTCAGCCTCCCTAGAATTATAGATATGAGCCATGGCTCCCAGACCACACTAGCTTTAAACTTGAAATCTTCCTGCCCCTGCTTCCCAAGTAGTGAAGATTACCTTGGAAAAAACTGTTTAATTTTTTAAATTCCCCATTCAAGTCCCAGGACTGGCATTTAAAAAAAAAAATTATGTGCAGGTGGGATATGCTAGTGGTAATTTCCTAGAACATGTGAGGATGAGAGTTTAGTTACACACATACACACACACACACCCCTCTAACTAAAAACAAAAGCTACCTATCCAGATGATGCCTTCTCATCAGTGCTTCATTACTCCTTGAAATTGCTGCCAATGTGACACATTGCCTCCAGTCTTGACCCCTAGCAATTCTCCAGTCTTGTCCCCTACCAGTTCACCCTGAGGGAGGCCTTGAGAACAGACTTTTCCTTTTTGATATCAGCAAGGGGGCTTGAACTCAGGGACTTGGCTTTTCCGCTTGAGGCTGGTATTCTAGCCTCAGATCCACTTCTTTTGCTGGTTGACTGGTTAAGTCTCAAAAATGTATCTGCCCATGCTGGCCTTGAACTCTGAATAGCTAGAACTGCAAGTGTAAACCACCAACACTTAACTCAAGAGTACACCCTTCTGAAACAAATTTGACCATGCCCCTCTCCCCTTGCAAAACTCCTAACATGACTCTTAAGTACTGAAGGTAAAGGTTCCTAAGCATAAAACTGGCTCTCAGAAATCTGGATCCTCTCTGATTTCATCTTTTACTCTCACTGGACCAGCCATACTGAACTAATGGTCCAGGTCTTACCACTTACTTTACTGGGAATGACCTTTCACTTCATTCATTCATCTTTAAGGTTATTTTTTGTTACCTCCCCTAAAATGCCTCATTAGCTAGCAGCTCTACTACTTATGCATACACACACAAACCCTCCTGGCTCCCAAGATACTCTATGCTTCCTGCTACTGATGAACTATTAATATTACCCATTTTTATAGCTACCTATTTTATTAGGCTATGCATGGTCCTTTGATGACAGTAATCACACCTTATTCTGGCTTGAGGCCCAGAGCCAAGCACTGATAGCTATTTACCTACTGTCTGACCAACAGACAGGTCAGATAAAACCACTGCCTTATTCCCACCCCTGCTCCCACAGAACTGTATTCCTCACCTTGATGGCAAACACAAGAGCCATGACTCCCAGGCAAGAGCAGCCACAGATAATGCTAGTGGCTGCCAAACAGCGAAGGCGGAGCCAGCAGCAACGGATGGGGGATGGAGAATGAGCAGCTTCTGTGTTGCTCACCAAGCTCTCCACTGCCTTCTCCTCGTCCTCCATCACCTGTGGGCGATAGTCAAGGCACTTGTAAGCCCAACAATAAGCCCTTGAACTGGCTTGCTGTAACTCCACCCCTCTTAAAGCATGCTGTCTTGAAAGCTTGGCCCAAGTCTTCGGAATGCTGCCTCACTTGGAAATTCCTCTAGTGAGTGACTCAGACCAGAAAAAAAGCTTAAAGCTGAAGACATTTAAGGCAGCATCTTATGATATAATCCAGGCTGGCCCTTAAAATTCCAATTTTCCTAGCTTAGTTTGGGATTGCTGGAATTACAGGTGTGTACCAGCATATATGGCTCATGAACAAGTGATTTTAAACTGTATTTCAAAGGCCCCTTAAGTTCCCCAGAGACCGCTCCCAAGTACTGAGGACCTAGCAAGATCCTAGGTCTTGCAACCTTCTTCAAAGCAGCCATTTCACATATAAGCAATCCCAAGGATAGAAGTGTGTGTGTGTGGGGGGGGGGGGGGGGGGGGGGAAGAGAGGAGACATGTAACCCAGGGGAGAGGCCTACCATATAAGCCCCTCCTCCTTTTTAAACAGTTGAAGAACCTGAACATCACAAAGACCTTAGTTCCCCCAAGCTGGTACCTTATTTTCTAGGCTGCCTCCTTGCCACCTCCTCTCCCCCATTTTAACCTACATAATCAGATTAACAAGAGTCCAAATGACCTCATCTCCACATAGAAACTTGCATAATGATGCCCTACTCATTTCACATCTTCTCAGGCCTTCATCATAAAACCCTCTTCAATCTTACGTCCAACCATTCCCTTAAAGCCTAAACAAAACGGAACCATCTATGATTCCTCAAATACAACAAAAGACAGACTGGGGGAAAGAGGCCAGACAAGCAGAAAGTGAAGGTATATGCCACAAAACTGCAGGGGAATAGGTATAAGTAACTCAGCTGAAGTAAACATAAAGCACCCATAGAGGGGTAACAGGGGGTTGAGGTCAGAAAATGTAAACAGGGGCTCTTACCTGGCTATAGGCCTGGAGGGATTGAGAGTTTCAGCTCCAGCCTCAGGTTTGATTTGACTTGGGTGGAGGAGCAGACTCGGGGCTCCAAGCCCCACCCAGGGCTAGGGTTGGGTGGCCAGCCACCTTCTGAAGAGCCCCAGGAGCTGGGAAAGGGGTGTGGCTGACTCAAACCAGTTTGGCTAGATGGAACGCTGTGTAGGGCCCTGGGATGAAGCAAGAAGAGGTAGGCTGCTTGCCTTCTGGAGAAAGGAGTGAAAGGAAGCATCTGAGCCAAAGGGTTAAAAGAAGGGCGGACTGAGGCATCAAAGAGCTCCACATAACGAAGGGATTAGGAGAGAGGATAAATACGTTCTCGTAATTTAGAACTAAAACTTTTTGGGAAACTCTACCAGGAGGTCAGCTTTGCCAATCTTCCCTCTTCTTGAGGTGAAATTACAGCCTCAGTGGTATACAATCCTGGATTGCAGATCAGTATTATGGCCTTTGCAAGAGGGAGAGAAGGGAAAAATGATGCCGAAGTTCCCACCCAGCCCTCCACCAGACCAGAAAATCAGAAGCCTCCTTACGCGGATGCTTGTACAGAAACTAAGTTTATTATTTTTTTTTCTTCTTAAAAAAAAAAGAAAAGAAAAAAAAAACTCATTGTAGAGAAGCCCCTCCCCGTCCCCCTAAGGGCATGGGGCTGTGAAAGATAGCTGGGGAATCAAGTACAAGGGGGTGGGGACAGAGACTATCTTGCCACCCTTAACACTGCCCAGCCATAAGGGGTGGGATGGAGGGGGATTGTGATCAGCCCATTCCATGACAACCAGTTGCCTACTCCCTACTTTGGTGAAAGGGAGAAGGCCTCTTTGTCTCCCTGGAGGCTTTCCCCCTCAAAAGACTTCAAGTAGTGGTTAAGAGTCAGGCCTGGTCATGGAGGGAGAACGGCTGTGGTGGAAAGCCTGGGAGAAGGCAGTCCACTCACGTCTTGGCCTTTCGGCCTCTGTGACTAATGGTAGGGCCAGACAGGTGGGGAGGAGCATTGCTGCGTAGGATGCGCTGGTCCCCTTGGTTGGTGGTCCCAGCAAGCCTGCGGGGGCCGGGCCTGCGGCGTGAGGTCTCATCCCCGTCTTCTTCCTCACCTGAGGCTTCAGCCTCAGACTCCTCTACTGAACCCTCAGGCCCCAGGGGACTTGGGGGCTGCAGACGACCCCGCTTTGTTAGCCCAGGACTCCCACCAAGGGGAGCCCCTGACCGTTTGCGAGGCACCTTTTCAGTCTCTAGTGGGGGGACTAGAGACCCTGGACGCAGCCGGGTCGAACGCAATTTGGGGGTTAATGAGACCACAGGAGGTGCCAGTTCTAACCCGCCTGGCCCGCTATCCGCTAGATCCAGGTCATCCTGAATTACAGCCACCACCATGGACCCTTCACTCTTCCGTCCTCGCACCCCTTCTGCTTCAAGCCGCAGGCGGGCCAGGCGAGTGAGGGGACGGCTTCCATCCTCGTCAGAGGAACTACCCTCACTCTCTCCTTGGCCCAGGGGTTGCTGCCGCCTTCCCAATCCACAACTCTCAAGGACAGAAGAGCTGTCACGGTCCAAGACAGGGAGCTGGCTGGGCCGAGGCGATGATGGATTCTTAGGAGGCCGGCCTCGCTTCCGTTTGGGTGGGGATGTTGAAATGGTAACAGTGGTGACAGTGTTGGTGACAGTAGCAGTGGGATAGGCTAGCAGTGGTGGGAGTGGTGGCAGGGATGATGGTAGTGGGAGTGGCTGTGTCCGGCTCTCTAAATTGACATCTCCTGGAGAGGAAATGGTCCCAGGGATGGGCAATTCCCTTGCTTTAGGGGGACGCCCCCGCCTTCTTTTCTCCACAGGTGACAGAATGATGGGCTCTGGTTTGTGAAAGGGATCGGGCCCTAGGACAGGCTCGGCTACAATGAGCGTTTCAGCTCCAGGGCCTGGATCAGCCCCGTTGGTTTTTCCCTTTGATGTAGATGAAGATGAAGGAGCCTCATCCACCCCTCTGCCAGCATCTGCTGGCGACCTGTTCTTCTTTGGGGGCCTCCCCCTCCGTCGTTTCACAGCAGGGGGAGTGATGGTGAGCAGTGCCCTTTCTCCATTCTCTGGGCTGCCCCCACCAGTCACCCCCAGCTCAATTCGACGACGAGCTATGAAGGGTGGTTGGGTTGGGGTGGGCAGTGAGGATGTGGGAGCAGTTTCACAGAGCCCGCCAGCGGGAGGTGAGGATTCTGGCCCTGACATGCTGCGGGTTGATGGGCTTCCTGGGCTGGTGCTTGTCTCAGAGACCCCAGGTACTAGAGTGCTGACAGCTGCCCGGTGTCGCCGTCGCCTCACAAGTTCTTTCTCCTCTACTACTGTTACAAGCCGTCCTGGCAGCTTGCGAAGCACTTTGGGGCCTGGAGGTTGCCCTGGCTGGCCAGTCCCCTGACCCCTAATTTCCACATCAGCACTGGTGCGACGCCGAGGGGGCCGGGCAGGTGAAGGATCCTCAGGAGAGGAGGTGACTGAAGAAGAGGTGGATGGAGCTGTGACTTCAGCTGTAACAAGTTCCTGTGGCTTCTCTGGGCTGGAGGTTAGGGTCTGAACTTCTACCAGCTCTTCCAAGTTCCTGTCAGGTTCCAGTGGCTCCTGAAGTGGCTCATCAGATGCTGCTGAAGGTGGGAGCTCCAGCCCATTGCTCTCACTCCGACTGGTGGGCAATTCCTCCCTGCCAGGCAGTACTGTGAGGATGGGTCCCTCAGCAGGATCTGAGACTTCCTGCTCTTGACCATTGGGGATGCTGCCAGCCTCCAGGGTTGGACTTGGTGTAGAAGGAATGACAGGAAGGTTCTTCTCTGACACAGGTAGGATCTCAACAGCAACTGGCAGCAGATCCTTCGGGGGTACAAGAGTAAGCGGGGAACTCCCAGAATTGGTCACACCAGCCATCTCCAAGGTCTCCACAGATGCCAAAGCTTGTGTACCCAGTTCTGGCTCAGGCCTCAAGCTCAAAGGGGGATTCGTGACTGGGGGAGAGTCAGGAAGAGAAGGCAAATCGAGCTGGACAAGAGAGGAAGGACTTAGGGGAGAGGGTTGGACTGGTGGTGGGGTATGAGGTGGTGGAGGGGTACAGGTAGGAGGAGGGGTACAGGCAGGAGAAGAACAAGAGGGAGGAATCTTTGGAGGAGGTGGGGAAGAAGGTGAGATATGGATAGGAACAGTTAGTGGATTTGAGGCTGAAATGGGAATTGGGGCAGGGACTGGGGCAGGAATTGTAGCAGGAACTAAAGTTGGAGTAGGTCGTGGTTTAGGCACTGGCCTGGGAGCTCGCTCCCTGGCAGGGCTGCAACGTGAGGGTGTGGAGGTACTACGGGTATGATGGGTAGACGTGACAGGAGTGTGGTTTGCCCCTTGATTCTCAGCCCGGGCTCCACGAAGACGCTCACTGACACGAGTCCCCGGCCTCTCAGGAGCCTTGACTTTCTTACTGCGCCGGTGGCTGCCTCCACCAATCCCACAGGACATCTCATCCCCAGCCCCTGGCCCTTCCTCCTGTTCTTGAGGTAGGCGGAACACCTCTTCCTTGGCTTGATCAAGGTCTTTGCGGGCAGCTTCCACTTGTTCCTACCAACAGCAGAACCCAAGGAGGTCAGCAGGAGGCAAGAAAAGTGAAAAGGTGTAAGCAATTAACAGCTTCCCACTCAAAGTCTCATTCCCCAGAAATACTCACTTCCGCCTGCTTGAGCTCCTCTCGGCTCACTTCCTCCAATGAGGCTTCCAGGAATTTCATGGCATAGCGCTCAATGGGAGTCAGCTACAGGAAAATACAGAGGTGATAAACAAAGGGGTTTGGTGCCCAAGGCCCAATCACCTTGTTCATTATCACTCATATATGACAGAAAAAGGCACTATAAGTGTAGGGGAAAAAAACAGAAGGATGAAGGCAAGTACTAGTAGATCCAACACTGACCTGTTCTACAAGGGCAGCAATCTCCTGCTCAGCACGGGACATCTCCTCATCCTCCACCCCAGGGCGACTGGCCTCTTCTCCCTCACCAGCAGGAAACCCATCATTCTCATTAAATTCTGCAAGTTCAGCCACTTGTTCAGCCTTGGCCTGGGTAGCCGCACGAATATCCTCTTCATCCTCTGCCCGGCACAAGGCCTTCCAGAATATAGAAAAGACAAAGAAAACACTTAAAAAACATTGTATCTATGATTTGATTATGGCAAAAATCCAAGGCCAAGTTTAGATAAAACCAGATATGCAACACAAAAGGATGAGGCTCAGAGTTCAAGTTCTAGTAACACACACACACACACACACACACACACACACACACACACACACACACACACACACACACACACACACACACACACACACACACACACACACACACACACACACACACACACACACACACACACAAGCGAAGGCTGACTATAATCTGGAAAAGAGCAGAAACTGTTCTTTCCTCCATGGATGAACAAAAAGAGAAGAAACATAGAAACATGTTAAGCAGCAACTCTACGCGTACCCACCTGCTCTAGAATATGGGTCTGTTTGCTAGCCATAGTCTCCTCCTCTTCCTCAAGGGCCGAGGGTACAGATGAGCCAGATGATTCCTCCAGAGGCATATCAAACAGCTCTCGGATGGTCTGCTATTGGATACAACAGAAGAGATCTTTAAGATGTTAACCAACAGAATGCTACTCTTACGTCTATACCTATGAGGCCTAGAAGTATGAAAAGTTCCTCTTGTTGAAAGATCTGTGGGGGCCAAAGCAGCAGCTCTTTAGCAAGCAGGAAGCATTTCTATAAACACAACAATTCTCTTCTGCCATGTACCTGTTTAAAATAGGCTGTGGTGAAGTTGCCTCCCTCAATGGCCATGTCTCCTAACATTCTCTTCTGATTTGCCTTTTTTAGGATGTTCTCCTCCACTGTCCGCTCACTAATAAGCCTAGGAGGAGATGGAGGAAAGGTGTAAACAGACAAGTATCAATGCCTTCCTAACAAAAAGTAAGGAAGACCAATCAATTACCTATAGATGTGTACATCTCTAGTCTGACCAATTCGGTGACAACGATCTTGGGCCTGAGCATCCATTGTGGGATTCCAGTCACTGTCATAAAAAACAACAGTGTCTGCTCCTGTCAGGTTCACGCCTACACCCCCACTTCGAGTTGAAAGGATGAAGCAGAATATTCGTTTGTCTGCATTGAACCGTTCCATCAAGGCCTAGAAGGGGGAAGAAAAAAAAATGCTATTTAGAGATCTACTTCAAAAATGGTCCAAGTAACCTTGGAGGGCCCCTTCTGAAAACCCAAGGATTAAGAAAAAGAGCCAAAGCTAAGCTGTAAAGAGTTGAAAATGTCCTGGTTACCTGTCTCTGTTCAACCCTAGTAGACCCATCCAGACGTAAGTAGAGGTGACCATGGTAAGTGAGAAACTGCTCTAATACATCCAGCATTCGGGTCATCTGTGTGAAGATGAGCACCCGGTGGCCCTCTGCCTTGAGCTGTCTCAACAGCACTGCCAATGTCTGCAACTTTCCTGAAGAGATACGAAGAGTAGAAGGAACTAATTCTCCATGTTGGAAAGGGGGAGAATACGTAGTACTGGAAAGCTATACGTGAAAAGTAATTAAGGCTTTAACCAAGGTTTCAATCAGCCTACTGAACAAAAATACTTACTTTACACATATTTTCCCCTTATAGATTCCCCTTCTTAGAGAGTACTCTCATCAGGGATCTAAGTTCTGAGTTTCACTAGGGATACAGGTATCAACATATCACCACCAAAAAAAAAAAAAAACCTGATCTCTTAGTTTATTAGCAAGACATTTTTTGGGGGATGTGGGGGGAGGTCAGTCATGGGGCTTGAACTCTGGGTCTGGCCTGAGTGTTGTCCTTGAGCTCTTCAGCTTAAGGATATTCTACCGCTTGAGCCACAGCGCCACTTCCAGTTTTCTGGTAGTTAATTGGAGATAAGAGTCTCACAGACTTTCCTGCTCCGGCTGGCTTTGAACTGTGATCCTCAGATCTTAGGCTCCTGAGTAGCTAGAATTACAGGTGTGAGCCACCAGAGCCTGGGCAGCAAGACACCTTTAAGTACTACAAAAGTCATACTAGCTGAAGCCGGGCACCAGTAGCTGAACTCTGGGGGGGCTTGAACTCTGGGCCTGGGCGCTGTCCCTCAGCTCTTCAGCTCAAGGCTAGCGCTCTACCACTTGAGCCACGTGCACCACTTCCCGCTTTTTTCTTTTTGCTTATGTGGTGCTGAGGAATCGAACCCAGGACCTCAGGCATGAAAGGCAAGCGCTCTACCACTGAGCCACCTTCCCAGCCCCAAAGAGACTCTTATCTCCAATAAACCACTAGAAAACCCGGAAGTGGTGCTGTAGCTCAAGTGGTAGAGCGCTATCCTTGAACTGAAGAGCTGAGGGACAGCACCCAGGCCCAGAGTTCAAGCTCCACGACCGACAAAAAAAATAAAAGTCCAGCTGAAACCAAAACAGACTCACAGAATAGACACCTATGGTTGTAGCTTATACACAGAGATTTGAAAATCACACATCAGAACCATAAAAGAGGGGATTCTTATCTAGTCAACCTTCCATCAAACACAAATAACTTCTCTATGTTTTATTTTTTGCCAGTCCTGGGGCTTAAACTCTGAGCCTGGGTGCTGTCCCTGGACTCCTTTGTTCTCTACCATCTGAGCCACAGCACCACTTCTGGCTTCACTTTTTCTGTGATTAACTGGAGGTAAGAGTCTTTCAGTCTGGGTGCCAGTGGCTCATGCCTGTAATCCTATCTACTCAGGAGACTGAGATCTGAGGATCGTGATTTGTAGCGGTCTGGGCAGAAAAGTTCCCAATTAACCACTTAAAAACCAGAAGTGGCACTGTGGTTCAAGTGGTCAAGCACTAGCCTTGAGCACAAAGAAGCTCAGGGACAGCACCCAGGCCCTTAGTTCAAGCCCACAACTGACCAAAAAAAAAAAAGTCTCATGGACTTTCTTGCCCAGGCTGGCTTCAAACTGTGATCCTCAGCTCTCAGCCTCCTGAGTAGCTAGGATTATAGGCATGAACCACCAGTGCCCAACACAAAAAACTTGAATTTTTTTCTTTTTCTTTTTGTTCATCTTGGGGCTTGAACTCTGGGCCTGGGCGCTGTCCTTCAGCTCTTCAGCTCAAGGCTACCGTTCTACCACTTAAGCCACAGCACCCACTTCAGCTTTTTCTGTTTATGTGGTGCTGAGGAATCAAACCCAGGGCCTCATGCAAGCACTCGCTACCACTGAGCCACCTTCCCAGCCCACTTCTATATTTTTTAAAAGCACATTTGAGTATTAATTTCTTTTCTTTTCTTTTTTTTTTCCTGGTGGTGATATGGGGCTTGAACTCTGGGCCTGAGGGCTCAAGGTGAGTGCTCTACCACTTGAGCTGTAGTGACATTTCTGGTTTTCTGAGTGGTTTATTGGAGATAAGAGTCTCACTGACTTTCCTGCCTGGGCTGGCCTTGAACCATGATCCTCAGATCTCAGCCTCCTAAGTAGCTAGGATTACAAGCATGAGCCACCAGTGCCCAGCTTGAGTATTTTTAATGGAGTCTCCCTAATTTGTCTAGCCTGGTCTCAAACTTCTGAGATTATCACCAAGTTTCTCTAGTAGTTAGACTACTGGTATATAACATCATGCCCAGGGCCCCCCTTTTTTTAGGGGGAGGGGGGGAGAATGGGAGTAGTGGAGTGAGGTAAGTGTTGGAGATAGAACACAGGGACTCTATCACCAGATTGAACACTTTTACCAAAGACTCAAGTATTACAAAAAATTATTTATTATGACAGAAACTAATCACTAGTATCCCAACAGCCACTTTTGGGCAAAAGAAACTGATAGAATACTGTGGACACCAGCCAGAGATCCTTTGTTCCTAGGGGAGTGAGGCCTCATCCAACCCCAGGAAATAAATCATGATTGATCTAAATAAACCATATTTCTTCTGCCATTCCTCTTTTTCAGTGATTACCCTAGGGATGTGAATGTGGTTCAGTTCTAGTCAATGGACTGTGAAAACTTTCTTTCCCAGAAATACATCTCAGGCAGCACTGGTGGCTCATGTTTATTTATAATCCCAGCTATTTAGGAGGCTGAGATCTAAGGATTATCATTTGAAGCCAGCCTAGGCAGGAAAATGCAATAGACTCCTATCTCCAATTAACTACAGAAAAAGCAGGAATTGGAGTTGTGGCTCAAGTGGTAGAGCACTAACCTTCAGCACAAAAGCTCAAGAATAGTGCCCAAGACCTGAGTTCAAGCCCCACCCCACAAAAAAGAACAATTAAACATTGTTCTAAGAATGAATGCTTTTATTTCAACCACTTACTTCCTGCTTAGAGGAAGTCCATTGGCTTCCTGGAGCTACTTTACCATGACGAAGCAAGCAAGAGAACAGGAAGGAACTAGTTGGTGGTTCACACCTGTAACCCTAGCTAGGGTTGAAATCTGAGAATCATGGTTCAAAGCCAGCACAGGGGGGCTGGGAAGGTGGCTCAGTGGTAGAGCACTTGCCTTGCATGCTCGAGGCCCTGGGTTCGATTCCTCAGCACCACATAAGAAAAAAGCCGGAAGTGGTGCTGTGTGGCTCAAGTGTCTGTAGAGCGCTCGCCTTGAGCTGAAGAGCTGAGGGACAGCGCCCAGGCCCAGAGTTCAGGCCCCACAACTGGACCCAAAAAAAAAAAGCCAGCACAGGCAGGAAACTCCATGAGACTCCAATTAACCACCAGAAAACCAGAAGTAGAGCTATGGCTCAAGTGGTAGAATGCTACCCTTCACAAAAGAACTCAGGGACAGCACCAGGTCCTGAGTTTATTTAAAAAATAAAACTAGGGGGGCTGGAAAGGTGGCTCAGTGGTAGAGCACTTGCCTTGCATGCCTGAGGCCCTGGGTTCGATTCCTCAGCACCACATAAGCAAAAAGAAAAAGCCGGAAGTGGCACTGTGGCTCAGGTGGTAGAGTGCTAGCCTTGAGCTGAAGAGCTGAGCGATAGTGCCCAGGCCCAGAGTTCAGGCCCCACGACTGGACCCAAAAAATAAAACTAGGTAACAGTGGGACTGGGAAGGTGGCTCAGTGGTAGAGTGCTTGCCTTGCATGCCTGAGGCCCTAGGTTCGATTCCAGCACCACATCAGCAAAAAGAAAAAAAAAGCCGGAAGTGGCGTTGTGGCTCAAGTGGTAGAGCGCTAGCCTTGAGCTGAAGAGCTGAGGGACAGTGCCCAGACCCAGGGTTCAGGCCCCACAACCGGACCCAAAAAAAAAACAAAAACAAAAACAAAAAAAAAACTAGATAACAGCTAAGAGTGACAGGCGGGGGAAGGTGGGTGAAATAAAAACAAAAACAAAAGGTCCTGGGGTCTATGAAAATATAAAGTTGATAAACCAGCTATATGCTACTTCTCAGAATTTTTCATAAACAACAGATGTTCTAGTGGTTTAAGCCATTGTTAAGTCAGTTTTGTTATTTACCAGCCAAATGCATTTTATCTAAGAGTCCTTATATTCTGTGTGTGCATACAGCAGTACTGGGAAACTTGAAGTCGGGACCTGGGAGCTATCCCTTAGTTTTTTGCTCAAGGCTGGCACTCTGTCACTTGAGCCACAGCTCCTACTTCTGCTTTTCAGTTGTTACCTGGAGACTAAGAGTTTCTCCAATTTTTCTGCTCCTAAGGCTTTGAACCAGGGTCCTCAGATCTCAGACTCTTGAATAGCTAGGATCACAGGCATGACCCATCAGTGTCCAGACAGTCTTTGTTCTCTTTCAATCAAAAATTTACTATTAACTCGAAGTCCTACAATACCACAAATTGTCCTATAAATGTAAAATCTCTGTGCAATGCTGTCTTAGTTGTTACTATATCCCAAATGTTCATAAAACAATGGTTCATCAATCCCTGTACATTTCTCTGTTGTGTCCGTAAGAATAATTTAAAAAATTGAATGCTTTACACAAATCCCTAGAGACTGATGCATGCATCCAAAATAAGTCTTGCTATAAGGTACAAAAAGAGGTCAAAAGTCTTGTACTAGCCAATGAACTCACCGCAGTCATACTGGATGAGTCTCAAGTCAGGGAACTGGGTGCGCATGTTACACACAATACGGTGCAAAGGACGAGCCCGGGGCCAAAGCTCACAGGCCAATTGCTCCTGGAAGGCTGCCTGGCGGGGGGCCAGCCAAGGAGGTGGGTGGCAGGCATGCAGGGAAGGGGGAGGTGCCTCCACAGGAGGCATGACAAAGATGAACCTGTGAAAGGAAAAAGGCAAGAGTGTAAAAGATGGGACTCTGAAATAACCCCAAAGGTTAGTACCATCACCAATCCTGAGCACTATCATCTACTCTTGAGACCCCAAGACCCACTCCCCATTAGCACTTAGCTATGCCAACCTCTCAATGATTTCTGATAGCTGGTCTAGTCGCTGCTGGGGAAACAGAACAGCCTGGTGGGCAGCCTCAGTATAAGTCCAAAAGGTGGGGTGGCTGGGGCCAGGAGAACGAGGGCCGATGGGGCTGGCAACAGGTTGGGGCAGGGTACAAAAATCCAGGACTTCAGTCCCATATATAGGAGCCAGGGCCCCATGAGCCTCACTAAGTCGGAAAATCCGTTCCAGGCGTTCGGACCGTTGTCGCTTCCGCTTTTCCTCCAGAGAATCCTACAGAGAACAGAAAGAAAACAAAACAAAAACAGTGTACTCAAAAGTTCACATCAGAATTCTATAGAAAACCTAAATTCTTATATGCTAATTCAAAAATGAAATTTATGGAGATGTGGCTTAAGTGGTAGAGCACCTGCTAATCAAGCATGAGGCCTTGAGGGTGAATATAGTAGACATACTTTATATGCATGTATGAAAACAGAATTAAACCTGTTGAAATTGTCTTAAGAAGGGTAGAGGGAGGATAAAGGAGTGTGATAGAGGTGATAAGGTTATAAGCAAAGTATGGAAATGTTACAATGAAATCCCTCTTGTACACTAACGCCTCTTGTACAAGTAATGCATACTAAGAAAAAAAAAAATCTTTTTTTTTTTTTTGTCGGTTGTGGGGCTTGAACTCTGGGTTTGGGCGCTTTCCCTGCGCTCTTCAGCTCAAGGTGAGCGCTCTACCACTTGAGCCACAGCACCACTTCTGGTTTTCTAGTGGTTTATTGGAGATAAGAGTCTCTCGGACTTTCTTGCCCAGGCTGGCTTTGAACTATTATCCTCAGATCTCAGCCTCCAGAGTAGCTAGGATTACAGGCGTGAGCCACTGGTGCCCGGCAAAAAAAAAAAATCTTAAAATCACAAGTCTTTCCTAGAAGGAAATCACCAGCATAATCTCTAAAAACCAAAAACCCAGGGCTAGGAAGGTGGCTCAGTGGTAGAGTGCTTGCCTTGCATGCATGAGGCCCTGGGTTTGATTCCTCAGTACCACAGGAGCGCTAGCCTTGAGCTGAAGAGATCAGGGACAGTGCCCAGGCCCAGAATTCAGGCCTATGACCATCAAAACAAAAAACTCAAACCCTGATTTTTCTTGTTTTCCAAACTGGCATTAAGAACTTTTTCTTTTACAATGCTAAATCTGTCTACAAAACAAAAATATCTTCTCTTGTATATTAACAGAGCAGAATGCTTGAAATATCCAAAGTTAAGATTTATGTATCCAACAGTTTATAGATTTGTGGGAATTACAGTATGCAGCATTCAACTCTAGAACTCTTATTTTCTTTTTGTGGGTCCAAAACAATTATTATAAGTTTTCCTCAAATCACTGACCAAAGCATAGAATGGCTACTCATACAGCCAAAACAAAAACAAAACAAAAGTGAACAAAAAAAAACTGTACCTTATGAATTGATCCTGAAAAAGAAAAAAAAAGGAGTGTCCCTTTTATTCATTTTTCAACTACCTAAAGCTTCACCTCTTGGCATGGGATGTTGTATAAATGAAGAAAGAGTTGGCTAAGAATAGGGAAAACAAATTCATACATTTGAAAAAAGGAGTTGAAGCCAAAATACATTCAAAAATTTTAAAACTTAAAATAGCCACATGCAATAATCCTAGCTACTCAGGAAGCTGAGATCTGAGAACCACAGATCAAAGCCAATCCTGGCAAGAAAATCCATGAGACTCCAATTAATCAGCAAAAAGCTGGAAGTGAAGCTGTGGCTCAAGTGATAGAGCACTAGCCTGAGACAAAAAGCAGCTCAAAGACAGCACCCAGGCTCTGACTTCAAGTCCCAAGACTAAAGTGGAATGGGAGGAAATGGTTCAAATCTGTAATTCCTGCTTTCTGGGAAATGGAGATTGGGCAGAATGTGGTTTCAGACTAACACAGGCCTAAATTAGTGGGACATTATCTCAACTAAAAAGTTGGGTGTGATGGTACCGTGATAGTCATCCAAGCTTGGAAGAATCATGCCAGCCCAGGAAAAAAATATAAGACTCAATCTGAAAAATAATGTAAGCAGGGTTATAGGCATGGCTCAAATAGTAGAGCATTTACCAAGTCTAACAGGGCCCTGAGTTCAAATTCCAGTACTAATAAAATTCAAAAGGACAAAGCCCAGAGCTGGTAGTTCATGCCTACAATCTTAGTCAGCAGGCTAAGATCTGTGGATAACAGTTCAAAGCTAGCCTTGGCAGGAAAGTTGGTGAGACTCAGATTCTAATTAACCAACAAAAAGGGTTAAAGTGGAACTGTGCTTCAAGTGGTGGCCTTAAACAGATAAAAAGTAAAATAAAAATAAAAAAGGCAGGGGCTGGGAAGGTGGCTCAGTGGTAGAGCACTTGCCTTGCATGCTCGAGGCCCTGGGTTCGATTCCTCAGCACTACATAAGAAAAAAAGCCGGAAGTGGCGCTGTGGCTCAAGTGGTAGAGTGCTAGCCTTGAGCTGAAGAGCTGAGGGACAGCGCCCAGGCCCAGAGTTCAGGCCCCACGACCGGACCCAAAAAAAAAAATAAATAAATAAAAATAAAAAAGGCAAAGGATGACTGGCTTATGCCTTAATCCTAGTTATTTAGGAGGCTGAGATCTAAGGATCAAGGTTCAAAAACAGCCTGGACAGAAAAGTCCATGAAATATCTCCAATTAACTACCAGAAAGTTAAGACACGGAGGGTAGCTCAAATGAACAAAAAAGGGACAGTGTGCAGGCCCTGAGATTAAGGCACCATTATGAGCACATTAAACAATTATTTTAAAAAGGGCAAAGGACAGGAATGGGTACTTCCTCACAGAAGGTATACACAAATGGCCTAAAAACACACAAAAAGATGCTCTACACTAGCCAACCTAGAAATCCAAGTTAAAACCAAAATGATTGTTTGTTTTGTTTTGTTTTTTTGTTGGTTGCGGGGCTTGAACTCTGGGCTTGGGCACTGTCCCTGCGCTCTTCAGCTCAAGGCAAGCACTCTAAGGCTTGAGCCACAGCACTACTTCCTAAACCCAAAATGATACTCCGTATCAAACTCATTAAGATAGTTACAATTAGAGGCAAAGTCAGCCAGGTGCTGATGGCTTACACCTCCAAACCAAGCTACTGAGGAAGCTCAGATCTAAGCAGTGCAATTCAAAGCTAGTCTAGATAGAAAAGTCTATAAAGCTCTCTCTCAATTAACAAGAAGTGGAGGTATGCTTGCCAGCTTTGAGGAGAAAAATAAGCAAGAGCACAGGAGGCCCTCAGTACTAGTACAAAGAAAAAGAAAGAAAGGAGGGAAAAGCTAGAAAAAAAGAAAGCTAGAAAATTAGAAAGGAGGGGGAGAGGGAGGACAAATTTGGGCATGGTAGGACAGGCTTGTATTCCCAACACTAGGGAAACTTCAACTGTACTGTTGAAGTAAGCTGTAAAGCAAAACAAAACAAACAAACAAAAAAAACCCCAGGATGAACAAACTAGGCATGATGGCACATGCAGATAGTTCCAGCTTCTTGGGAGGCTGACAAGAGGGTTTCATGAAATCAGGAATTCAAGACTAGCCTGACTAGGCTGAAACCCTCACAGACTGCAAGAATATTAAGTGCTAGCCGGGTGCTGGTGGCTCACGCCTGTAATCCTAGCTACTCAGGAGGCTGAGATCTGAGGATCGCGGTTCAAAGCCAGCCCGGGCAGGAGAGACCGTGAGACTCCTATCTCCACCAGAAAAGTGGAAGTGGGAAGTGGCGCTATAGCTCAAGTGGTAGAGCGCTCGCCTTGAGCTGAAGAGCTGAGGGACAGCGCCCAGGCCCAGAGTTCAAGCCCCATGACCGACAAAAAAAAAGGAATATTAAGTGCTTTTGCTACTTTGGAAACGGTTGGCAGTTCCTCCAATAGTTTGGCAGTTCCTCCAATACATCTCAGCAACTTTTCTCCCATTTCTATCAAAGAAAAATCAAAACACATGTCCATAGAAAAACATGGATCAAAAAAAGAAAAAGAAAAGAAAAATATGTATATATCTGGGCAAAGGCATCTCACACCTATAATCCTAGCTACTCAGGAGGCTGAAAACTGAGGACTGCAGTTCAAAGGCACCCCAGGCATGAAAGGCCATAGCTAGCCACCAGAAAACCAGAGTAGTGCTGTGGGCTCAAAATGATAAAAGTATCTTGAGCAAAAAGAGCTAAGGGAGGGACTGGGAAGGTGGCTCAGTGGTAGAGCGCTTGCCTTGCATGCCTGAGGCCCTGGGTTCAATTCCTCAGCACCACATAAGCAAAAAGAAAAAAGCCAGAAGTGGCACTGTGGCTCAAGTGGTAGAGCGCTAGCCTTGAGCTGAAGAGCTGAGGGACAGGGCCCAGGCCCAGAGTTCAGGCCCCACAACCAGACCCCCACAAAAAAAAAAAAATCTCTTATATAATGAATTATTACTCAAAAAATTTAAAAAATAGACAAATCAAAACCACACTAACCTGGCCAGGAGCCAATGATTCTCACCTATAATCCAAGTTACTTAGGAGAGTAAGATCTAAGATCAAAGTTTGAAGCCAGACCAGGCAGAAAAGTCTGGGGTATTCTACAACTAACCAGCAAAAAAAAAAGAACTAGAGGCATGGCTCAGTGGTAGAACACTAGCCATGAGCAACAAAGCCCAGCAAGAGTTGCAAGGCCCAAAGCTCAAGCACCATTACAGCATTAAAAAGAAAAAAAGACATTCAAGCTGGGAGACAGTGGCTCAGGACTGAATTCCTAGCTTAAAAAACTGAACTCTAAGGATTACAGTTTAAAGCCAGCATGAGCAGGAAAGTCTGTAAGGCTTATTTCCATTTACATGTCCCCCCTCCTCCCAAAGCCAGAAATGGAGCTGTGGTTCAAGTGGTAAGAGTGCTAAGCTTGAACAAAAAGACTCAGGGAAAGGACCCATGCCGAGTGTAAACCCCAAGATCACACACACAGAAGACACGCAAAGATGCTGGTGAGGAAAGAATGATTCCATAAGCAGATATACATACAAATAGTTATGCAGGATAGTAGTAATGGAGGGGATGGGAGGCTTAAGGAATACAATAAACTCTCTCTAGACCCATGAAAAAGCTCTAAAATGCTACTAGTTTTGGTTGCACAATGCACTCAATAAGCTAAAACATCAAATAGCATATACTTTTGTTTCTGGTCGTGGTCCTAGGGCTTGAACTCAGGACCTAGGGCCATCCCTGAGCTCTTTTGCTCAAGGCTAGCACTTGCTCTGTACCACTGAGCCACAGCTGCACTTCTGGCTTGCGCTGGCTTTGAACTGTGATCCTTAGATCTCAGCCTCCTGAGTAGCTAGGATTGTAGGCGTGAGCCACCAGCACCAAGCCAGTATATACTTTTTTTGGTGGTAGCAGTGCTGGTGGGGTCAAACCCAAGACCTTCTGCATGTTAAGGCATTTACAACCTCAGCCCTGAAGTACAGTTTAAATAAAAATCTTGAAGCCCAGGGTTCAATTCTTCCATACCACATAAACAGAAACAGCTGGAAGTAGCACTGTGGCTCAAGTGGTAGAGCACTAGCCTTGAGCAAAAGAAGCTCAAGGACAGTGCCCAGGCCCTGAGTGCAAGCCCCAGGACTGGCAAAAAAAAAAAAAAGAAGTCAAGAGCTACTATCTACCTATCTACTTGCCAAACAATGGAAATATGGAAATTCAGTACTTTATTTTCAACAAGGCAGGGCCAAACCTGGTGGTATTAGGAAAATACCAAAAGTGGAATGTGGGGGGCTTAATGGAAAATAACCAGCAAGTTTCATAAAGACATAAGGTCTAGAAGGCTTCACTGTACCTTTCTTATTAGTTTCTGGGTTATTCACTCTAAGATGGTCTGTAAGTTTAACATACATACAGAACTAAAGCGAAAAAATGACTGAGAAATCTCATGAACAAACAAGATAAAAGTTCCCTTTATTGCCTGTTTGTCACTATGGAGGTAAAAGTCAGTTGGCTGTCAAAATCCAAGACACAGGAACTATAGGGAGTTATATTCCATCATAACATCCATCTACCAATTCTACATACTTGATCATCAGATCCAGATCATTTTAGCAACTGAAAACAGTCTTGCTGTCTTGGAAGATTGCCTCTTAAGGGGAAGAGGAAAAAGCAATGGAATCAGCATGAGTTTCCTCATTTGTAAAATAAAGCAATTACATTCCAACAATTAACTCCTTGTGAGCAAGAAGCAAAGAGATCATTGGTAACAAAAAAGGGCTTGAATACATCAGCGAGAATTATTTTTTAAATCACATTTGAGTAGCCAGGTAAAGTAATGTACATATCTGTAGTGTTAGCCACTCCAAAGGCCAAGGCAGAACAATCACTAGTTGCCATCCTAAGCAACAGTGAGACCTTGGATCAAGAAGTACATACACAAAATCACGTTCAATGTATGTATGAAAATGTCACGATGAAACCTCATACAATATACAATGTAAAATTTACATTTGTACAGTTGTACAATTGTACATACAATGTACAATTTAATATACACCAATAAGATGAAGAACCCATGAAACTGAAAAAAAAAATTAAAAATAAAGTACATTTGTGTTGAGTGTTGGTGGCTCACGCCTATAATCCTAGCTACTCGGGAAGCTAAAATCTGAGGATCTCAGTTCAAAGCTAACCCAGGCAGGCAAATTCATGAGACTCTCTTATTCCAATTAATAAGCAAAAGGACAGAAATTTCTGTGGCAAGTAATGGTAGGTTGAGAGAAAAAAGCCAAAGTGAGAGGCTCTGAATTAAAGCTGTAGTACTCAAAGAAAAAAAAGGACGTTTGTGAGGTATGGTAGATCTCACCTAAACTAAGTTTACTTGGCATGGGTGAGGCCCCTAGGTTCAACCTCCTCCACCACGAAGAAAGCAAACATTTAAGCTGGGTGCCAGTGGCTCACATCTGCAATCCTAGCTACTCAGGAGGCTGAAATCTGGTGATCAAGATTTGAAACCAGCATGGGTAGAAAAGTACATGACTCTTACCTCCAATTAACCAGCAAAGAGCCAGAAAGGGGAGCTATGACTAAGTAGTAAGAACACCAAACACTAAGCTGCATTGAGAGGCTCTATCAAGCCCCAGTGTTAGTGCAAAACAAACAACCATATTTAGTCTTGGGGTATGTGGCCCAAATGGAGGCACAAGGTGCTTGGTTCAATCCTCATCATAGAGTAGGGAGAGGCACACTTGGGGAGGAAAATCACATTTGATCTTTTATGTATCTTGAGAAATGCAGGAGATAAAAGTTTTTATAGAGGATGGGATAAACCCACAAATGGGAAGGAACTTGTCCAAACATCAATGAAGTACATGGTCCCACTAAGTTTTGTAATTTGCAAAGTTAAAACAGACATTATTTTGTTCTATCCATTCTACCAATATTCCAAAGAGACACAACTTCCTTTGAGGAAGCAAAACTTACCAGATAGAAAGGGGAACGAGGTGGTGGTGGGGGCTGCCGTCGAGGCCGGGGGCCACTGAACGAGGTAGCAGTGGAGGGAGGGCTGGGGGGACCAGAGCGAAACATCAGTGTCTCAGGCTCATCCTTGGCAACAGGCAGCCGGTTTGCCATGGTGACAGGCAAAGAAGCTGCACCCACAAGGGAAGATGCCTGGGAAGCTGGGGCCAGTGCCAGGGTCTGAGCTGCAGCTGTTCCCAGGGTGGGCACAGGAACAGAGGTGGGGCTCAAGGTCAGTGTTTGCACTGAAGCTGGGGCCAGGAGTGAAGCAGATGACGATGCTGGAGCCAAAGTCAGTGTGTGAGCTGGGGCCAGTCCCATAGGAGAAGCTGGAGCCAGAGGAGGTGCTGGAGTCAGAGACAGTGTCTGTGTTGGACCCAGTGGTGCTCCTGGTGCCAAAGACAGTGTCTGGGCTGCAGGTGGTACCAGGGATGAAACTGGAGTCAATGACAACGTCTGAGCTGGAAAGGGGCCCTGAGGGTTCCCTGTCCCCAAAGAGTGTGTCTGAGATGGAGACGAGCCGCTGAAAGTGGATGCTAAGGTTGGGGCTAGGGCCAGTGTCTGCTGCGTAGAAGCCAGGCTTGAGAGAGGCGATGGAACTGGATTTGGTACCATAGTCTGAGTTGATGCTGGAGCCAACACAGGAGTTGGAGCTGACACCAATGAAGATGAGGCTAAAGGGGTTCCTGGCACTGATGACGGAGCCATAACTGGAAGTGGAGTCTGCGGTGAAGCCAGGACAGGAGCAGAGCCTGGCGATGGAGCCAGGACAGGAAGAGGAGTCAGAGGAGCTGGAGAAGGACCCAGGACTGCTGTCTGTGAAGCCGTCATAGGAGCCATAGAGTTGGCTAAAGTCTGAGATGCAGAAGGTGCTGGAGCCAGAAGGGAAGCTGGAGCTGGATTTGGCGCTGATGGGAAAGTACTGGCTAGAGCAGAAGCTGGCACCAGTACAGGTGAGCATGCTGGGGCCACAGGTGAGTTCAACCCTGAAACATGTGAAGAAGTGGGAGCCAACAAGAGAGGATGACCAGCTGTCTGTGGTGGGGACAGGGCTGGAGCTGCGGCCAAACCTAGAGTCAAGGCTGACATGGATGGGGAAGGCCCAGCTGATGCCAATGGAGGTGGCCCAGAAGCCGCTGAGACAATGGGTGCCAGTGCTGGAGTTGCACTGGTCAACAGAGCTGAGCCTGATGCTGAAACAGGCAAGGGGGTTGAAATGGGGATGGTCAGGGGAACAGAAGTTTGGGCAGGAAGTGTGGTAGGGACAGGAATGGGAAGGGAAGATGATACGGGGACTGACACTGTAGACGACACAGGACTAGGAAGGGGAGAGGAATTAGGCATTGGTATTGGTGACGAGGCTGGCCCGGGAAGTGAGGATGGCACATGAAGAGAAGAGGATATAGTCATGGGAGCAGCTCCGGGCGCTGAAGCTGTGGAAACAGAAGTTGAGTTAGCTTCAGAAATTTTCTTTCTTATACATTCTACTTCCTAGTCCTATCTTTCCTCTTACTCCCAAGCTAAATTATTTCCCAGAAAGCCTTCATTCCCACCCACATAGGGTCAAAACTTCAGAACAGGACTGCTTAACATTTCTTTCTCCTTCAAGATTCCAACAAGCATATTTTAGGATTAAGTCAGAACTTGGGTACCCTATTTCTAAGGCCAATTGAAAGTTAAGAGAGCATGCTTATGAGGAAGGGATCTGCTGTGACTAAGCAATCTTCAGGACTATCCATTTCATCTGCATTCCTAGCAAAAATTTCTGGCCTCAGCCATATGGACTCACCAGTGATTTCAGGTGAAGGACTGTGGACCAGCTTGAGAAGGGGCCTCACCAGAGTGGGTGTAGGTATGGGGGCCCGAGCAGTACCCAGAGTAGGTGTGGGTAACCTGCCAGGACTTAATGTGGGGCGTGGAGTCAACATAGCTGGAAGCCCAGAACCCGGAGGTCGAGGTGCTGGTGCCAACGGTGGAACAGGAGTCAGTCCATCCCGAGGGGCCTGTCTCACTACAATCTTCACCACGCCTGTACTATTCACCATGGATGATGGCACTGCAAGAGGAAGCTACATTGAGAGGAAGGTAGAAAAGAAACAAGAGACCCAAAGAATGGAAGAAGTCCAGGGGAAAGAAAGGGTGGCAACAGATATTAGAGATTTTGACATGGGAAAACAATACCAAGGCAAGGCTAGATGATAGCAGACCAAGGCGTGCCTGGAAGGATCAAGGCCAGCAAGGGCTAAGTAGGAAGGCCAGGAGCCTCACCCTGGTTAGCAGCAAGCGGAAGGCTGAGGCCAGTAGGGGCAGGGGTGGTGCTGGGGGTCGAAGAAGGCAGCACAGAGACAGGGGTGGGGCCAGGGGTCGGGGCGACGGCCTGGATGAGGGCCACATGGGCAGGCTGGCTGATGAGGTGGTGCTGCCCCCCTGCTGACACCAGGTGCACCACATTCCCTGGGTGAAAGGAAGAGAGAAGAGAGAGAGAAGCACCTATCAGCCAGAGGAGAGCAGAGGCAGAGTAAGAGAAATAACAGAGAGTAAATTCTGAGTATGACCTTTTCCTATTTTTATCAAAAGACCCCTTCCAACCATTCTATTCCCCTTTGGCCTGCCCATTAAAAGCCAGGAAAAGAAACACAAAGTCAGGTGATTTAAAAGTGCCATGAAAAAATTTTAAAATAAAAGTAAATTTTAAAAAACAAGGACAGAGAAAAAGAAGAAATAAGCAGGACAGGGGGTGGGTTTTACCTACTTTGCAGCGGGCGGGGCTGCCCCACAGCAAGCTGGCGCACCTGGGCACCAGTCAAAGTCAGTTTGTTGCCCTGGATTTGGAAGGTGAGAGGTTTGCTTCCCCCGGCACTAGCCACTGGACGTTGTGCCAAAGAGGCCAACTGCCCAATGCTGACCACTTCACCGGCTAAAACAGAGAAGGCTTTACTGTACACAGGGCTCATCCTGGTCATACTCCTCAGATCCCCATGCACCACACACCTCTCCCTTAGTCTCCAGTTCCTCTAAACCTTTCCCACAATTTACCATGCTCATTAAACTAAGACTGCACCCAGTATTTGTGTTTTTGATATGTTACTCTGCACATTTTCCAATCCCCCCTTGTTTCCAATAAAATATCCTTTACATTCTCTAATAGTCATATACCAGACTAAGTAAATAACCACCTCTTGCTCTACTCTACCCTTTTACCACAATTTTTTTCCCCTAATTGTTTTTGCAGATTAGAGAGCAGCCCAAAGCCACAGACTGAACCCAGGGCTCACAATACTAGGTAAGTATTCTACCACTGAACTACCTAACCAGTCCTCCAAATACTTTTCTATTTCTCAGCTTACCACTATTTACTCATCTTTGAATTTCTCCCACTAGACTGAATTCACTGATGGTTCTTATTACAAAGTACTTTTAAACCATATATTATATACACATACATATTATACATACATATATATATATATATACATATTGTACATATTACACACACACACATTTGTTGGCTAGAACTTCATACTCTCATGTTTCTTTTCTTCTTTAGCTCCTAGTTGTTAAGTCATCCATATCAAGTCCCTTCCCAAAGAGCCCTGGGAACTTACATGGCAGGCGAGCCTGCATTTCAGGAGACAGGATGAGACGCTGTGGTGCAGGAGTTGGAGCTGGCACTGCTGTGGTGGTAGTGGTCGCTGTGGTGATAGAGGTGGTAGTAGCAGCAACAGGAGAGAAGGTATAGCCTGGAGGTACTGTGAGGGGTTTCAGTAGGCTAGAGGAGCCTGGGGGTGGGGCTGGACTCAAACGAACTGGGGCAGGTGGAGTTGGCTTCAGGGACAGGGTTGGTGTGGGAGGCTGTGAAGTGCCACTCGAAACCCCCAGGGGAGATGGCAACACTGTAGACACAAACCAAAAACTCATCACATATATCCTCATGTCATAGCCTGGTCCCAGAAACCTCCATAATAGCCTTTACAGCCTACTGAACACTCTACCATTACCCACAAATCAGCTTTGTAAACCTTTTAATTTCATTACTTTCCTTTTTGCCTTTTGTGTCAGTACTAGAGCTTGAACTCTATAAGCGCTGTCTCATAGCTTTTTCACTCAAGGCCAGTGCTCTACCACGTGAGCCACAACTCTACTTCTGGCATTCTATAGTAGTTAGTTGGTAGTAAGAATCTCATGGACTTTCTTGCCCAGGCTGGCTTTGAATGGCAATCTGAGTAGCTAGGATTACAGTGTAAATCACCTCAGCCAGGCATTTCTTTACCTCTTTTCTAGTCTGAATAATTTATGACCATTAACCTTGGCCCTTTTTCAACTCACCCTGGGGGAGAGAACCACTGTTAGGCTGCAGAGGAGGCAAAAGAACAGGTCCAGGGGGCCGGGATGCAGGAACAAGTGAGGATGCAGCAGGTGAGGCAGACACCATCAATGGCGCTGGCAACACTGGAGGCGTTAGGCTAGGAGTATTTTGGGTTGAGAGCTCAGGGACTGGAGGAGGTCTGAGTGGGACAGGGCCAAGGGGCGTCCGTGGGCTATTCACGACCACCACTGTGCGACCTTCTTGCTTAGGCACCGGCTGTAGCATCCTATGAGGAAAACAAGGGGTGGGTGGAAAGAAAGGGAGAATAAGGAACATAAAGTAGAAAGATTGCAAAATCAGAGGGGAAAAAAAGATCCAAAGGAGAAAGGGAGGAAAAAAGCACCCAGCCAATAGGGGAAGCAAATAAAACAAAAACTGGGGACAAACACAGGAACTCCTCCTAAAATTCTCTTCAAATTATTCTCTCCCCCAATCTCTCCATAGTACTTTGCACTCATACCATAAACATCCTAATCTAGTCTTCAATTCTTTCCTCCTATTCCTAACCCCTCTACTTTTTCTAAGAACCCATCCCTTAATCCTTAGTACTGGTACCTGTTGACTTTCATCTTGACTGGCTTGGGCCGAGGCGGGGGGTCAGGAGCAGTAGCTACCTCTAGCAGTACCCGGCGGGAGAGGCGATGCCGAGGCAGAAACGTATCAGACTCATACCGGGAGACACGACCCTCCAGGCCAATAAGGTCAAACCGGTCCATGTCTATCCGCTGCCCAAGGGGAAACACAAAGCACAATGGCAATGATTTCTCAGATAATGACACCAAAAGCACAAGTAGTAACAGTAACAACAACAAAACTGACAAAATGATCATCAAAACTCAAAACTTCTATGTATCAGTGGGTATTATCAAGACTAAAAATACAACCCACACAATGGGACAAGGTATTTGCAAATCATACAATTGACTCGGTGTTAACTACCAAAGTCTGACACAAAGAACTGTAACTCATCTATAAAAAAACAAAACAGTTTAAAAAATATAACAAAGGGCTGGGGATATGGCTTAGTGGTAGAGTGCTTGCCTAGCATGCATGAATCCCTGAGTTCGATTCCTCAGTACCACATAAACTGAAAAAGCTTGAAGTGGCGCTGTGGTAGAGTGCTACCCTGAGCAAAAGCAGCACAGGGACAGTGCCCAGGCCCTGAGATCAAGCCCCATAATTGGCAAAAAAACAAAACAAAACAAAACAAAAAAAAACCCAAGTCTTAGACATGTTTCTAAACAAAGATGTAATAATTCCAATAACCACATGAAAAAGATGAATACTAATATTTGGGGAAATGCAAACCAAATTGAAATAAGGCATTTTACAAATATTAATATGGCTACTAAAAAAAAAATTCCTAGCGCCGGGCGCTGGTGGCTCACGCCTGTAATCCTAGCTACTCAGGAGGCTGAGATCTGAGGATCACAGTTCAAAGCCAGCCCGGGCAGGAAAGACCATGAGACTCCTATCTCCAATAAACCACCAGAAAACCGGAAGTGGCGCTGTAGTTCAAGTGGTAGAGCGCTCGCCTTGAGCTGAAGAGCTGAGGGACAGCGCCCAGGCCCAGAGTTCAAGCCCCACACCCGACAAAAAAAAAAAAAAAAAAAAAAATTCCTAGCAAAATGCAGTGGTATACATCTTTAATCCCAGAGACTCAAGTAGTAAAGATTGGGAAGATGAAAGCTCTGGACCCACACAGGCAAAAAAGTCAGACCTCATCTCAACAACTAAGACAGATACGACAGCATGCACCTTACGGTCTCAATTATATATAGGAGGCTGTAGGTAGATCTCATTTCAGAACAGCCACAGAATAAGATGCTATACCTAAGCAAAAACCAACCTAAACCAAACAATGCTGGAAGCATAGCTAACATGGCAGAATACTTGACTAACCAAGCATAATGCTAAATTCAAACACAAGCTAAAAAAAAAAAAATCCTTCGAAAGATTTAGAAAAATTAAAACTCCTGTAACTGTACCTGGAATTTAAAATATGAAGCTGCTATAAAAAATAAACACTAAAGTAAAGTACCTCCTCCAGAGTGAAAAACAGGTGCTAGTGGCTCACACTTGTAATCTTAACTAGTCAGGAGGCTCAGATCTGAGGATCATGGTTTGAAACAAGCCCAGGCAGGAAAGCCTGTGAGCTGCTTAACCACCAAAAAGACAAGTAGAAGAGCCGGGCGCTGGTGGCTCACGCCTGTAATCCTAGCTACTCAGGAGGCTGAGATCTGAGGATCACAATTGAAAGCCAGCCCGGGCAGGAGAGACCGTGAGACTCCTATCTCCAATAAACCACCAGAAAACAGGAAGTGGCGCTGTAGCTCAAGTGGTAGAGCGCTCGCCTTGAACTGAAGAGCTGAGGGACAGCGCCCAGGCCCAGAGTTCAAGCCCCACGGCCGACCAAAAAAAAAAAAAAGACAAGTGGAAGAATGCTAGCCTTGAACAAAAAAAACTCAGGGACTGCCTCAAGCCCTTAGTTCAAGTTCTAGGACTAGCACCAAAAAACAGAAGTGAAAAATAGTTATATGATATAATAATTACGTTTTGGCGGGACACCAGTGGCTCATGCCTGTAACCCTAGCTACTCAGGAGGCTGAGATCTGAGGATCACAGTTCAAAGCCAGCCAGGCAGAAAAGTCCACGAGACTCTTATCTCCAATAAACCACTAGAAAACCAGAAGTGGCTCTGTGGCTCATGCAGTAGAGCGCTCGCCTTGAGCTGAAGAGCTGAGGGATAGTGCCCAAGCCCAGAGTTCAAGCCCCATGATCAACCAAAAAAAAAAAAAAAAAAAATTACATTTTGGAGCATATACTCAAAGAACAGCAGGAGCCAATAAACATAGTTGTTTATGTTCATAGCATCATTAATTGTAACCATCATTACAGTATAGTCATGCATGTCTGTAATCTTAGCACTAAGAAAGCTAAGGCAGGAAGATGTCATTTCAGTCCAGCCTAGCTACCTAATGGTAGCCAGCTGCCAGTGGCTCACACCTGTAATCCTAGCTACTCAGAGAAGGCTGAGATCTGAGGATCGAGGTTCAAAGCCAGCCTAGGCAATAAAGTCTATGAGACTCTTATCTCCATACACCCCCAGAAAATCGGAAGTGGCACTGTGGCTCAAGTGGTAGAGAGCTAGCTTTGAGCTGAAGAGCTGAAGGACAGTGCACAGGCCCAGAGTTCAAGATCCATGACTGACCAAAACAACAACAACAAAAAAATCCGAGCACTGGTAGCTCAGACCTGAATGTAATCTTGGCTACTCAGGAGCTTAATCTACAATTAGCCATCAATAAAGCCGGAAGTAGAGCTCTGGCTCAAGTGGTAGAGTGGTAAACTACTAGCCCTAAGCAAAAAAGCTCAAGGACAGCACCTATGCCCTGAGTGGAAGCCCTACAACTTGCATCCCCCCCCCCAAAAAAAAGTTAATTTAATTCTCAAACACACTGCAGGATTTATCTTATAATCTCCATTTTGATGGGGAAGGAAACGTAGGTTAAAAAATTTGCTAAGTCATCTCGGAACAAAATGATGAAACTAGGAACAGCATTGAGGATGAATGTAAGGGAAGTAGTATGGCTGTAGAATATTAAACTATCTAAAGGTTGGGTAAGAACTACTAAGCTTGAAAACAACTACTTACCTCGAGTGGATGGACATCAGTGGCCCTTAGCACCAAAGAGGCGGTGCTGAAACAGATGCCTGGGGTAATGAAGGGAGAGGTAACAGGTCGAGGATCAAAAAGATTTGGATGGTTGCAGACTTTTCGCAGCTGCATCAAAATGTTGATAACGCTCATGAAATGGCCTGTGGCTAGTGTCTCCTTAGTTCTGGGGAAACAAAAATTAATCAGACATCATGACAGCCACCTGCACTCCTATTCAGGGTCCCAGAGCCCATCCTCTGCTCTCCCTTACGTGGTCTGTGCCATGAAGTCATCATAGAGACATCGTTGGCGCTTGGAGAGTCGGCAGCGGATAACATGCTCATACTTTTTGGGCATCTGTTTCTCAACGTCCACTTTAACGCGGCGCAGCAAAAAAGGCCTCAAAACCTAAAAGCAAATATGAAGGAGGCTGACGGAAGGGCGGACACTAAGCCATAGCTGAGCCCTTCTAGGTGAGTCTTGGTCTGGTGATTGGTCAAGAACTGGCTTAATTCATCTGCAATCACGAAGTTATGAGGCTTATTAGTTATGAGCCACACAAAGGTAAGTAAAATGCAGTCCCTTTTCAAAAGGAACTTACTGTCTGCTGAAGACTTACACAAAGATAACAGTACCATAACATACAAAAATGATACAAAGTACTGAAAGCAAACCACAAACTATGAAGGAAAGATTAAACTATATTTTGAGGAGTGACTTAAGTTCCTAAGATTATGAAACGAAGCCAAGCATTGTGAATTATATGACTATAGTCTCAGATATTCAGAAAGCTAAAGCACAAGAATCACCTGAACCTAGAAGGTCAAGGACAATCTGAGCAACACAGCAAGACACAATTTCAAAAAGTAAACAAGAAAGTATAAAAACAGGCGAGAACCTGAGAATAAAATTTATGCCTTGAGATGCATGTATAGCTCAGTGATATGGAGGTTGGGGGGTTAATATGCTCATAGGGCCCATAGTGTAATCCAGAGCACCCAAACAACCAAAAGAAGTGGCCTTGATAGTGGCCTTGTACAGTTTTCAATATATACAACATAAAGGAAATGAGGAAAACAAGACAAATGGAGTTTAGTAATTTAGGAAGATTTCCTGGTTTCTAGCTTTTTTTTGTTTTGTTTTTAACCAAATGGTGGTGCAACTAAGATGGGAGTTATAACCAGAAATATCTGAGTAAAAAATTAATAGGTTCTAAGAATAGATATGTGGTTGATGACAGAATGAATTCAAGAGGAATTTTCCAATTAAAGATAGTGACTCAGCTGGGCACCAGTGCCACATGTCTATCATCCTAGCTACTTAGGAGGCTGAGATCTGAGGATCAAGTTCAATGCTAGCCAGGGCAGGAAAGTCTGTGACTCTTATCTCCAATTAATCATCAGAAAACCAGAAGTGGCACTGTAAGCAAAAAAGCTCAGGGACAGCACCCAGGTCTTGAATTCAAGCCCCAAGACCAAAGAAAAAAAACACCAACTCAAGAGTTTGATGTGGTACATACACATATAATCCCTGGTATACCAGAGGCAGAACTTTAAGTTCAAGGCCAATCTAATAAAGTTAGCAGAACCTAGTGTCAAAAAAATAATAAAAGCAAAAGAACTAAGTAAACATACAGCTCAAATAGTACAACGTTTGTTTGCTTAACAAGTCCAAGGCCCTGGGTTCAATCCCTCATATAAAAGAGAGAAGAAAGGAAAAAGAGAAGGAATTAATTAAAATTCAGCTCCAGGAATCTAGAAATTCAAGTGATTACAAATAAACTAAAAAGGCATTACCACACAGGCAACAATCAACAAGTATGCTTGAAACACATAAAGATTAAGAAAAAAAACACAGGCTGGGAATGTGTCCTAGTGGTAGAGTTGCTTGCCTAGCATGCATGAAGCCATGGGTTCCATTCCTCACTACCACATAAAAAAAATTTTAAAAGCCAGAAGTTGTGCTATGACTTCAGTGTTAAGAGTACTAGTCTTGAGCAAAAAAAGCTCAGAGACAGTGCTCAGGCCCTGAGTTCAAGCCCTAGGACTGGCAAAAGAAAGAGAGAAAGAGAGAGAGAAAGAAAGAGAGAAAAAGAAGAAGGAAGGAAGGAAGGAAGGAAGGAAGGAAGGAAGGAAGGAAGGAAGGAAGGAAAAGAAAAGAGAAAAAAATTTTTAAAGAAAAAAAAAGGGACCAGAATGCTGAAAGATACTGTTCTTTAAAAGCTGAAGCAGCTAGGGCTGGGAAGTTGGCTCAGTGGTAGAGTGCTTGCCTTGCATGCATAAGGCCCTGGGTTCAATTCCTCAGCACCACATAAGCAGAAAAAAGCCAGAAGTGGTGCTTGTGGCTCAAGTAGTAGAGTGCTAGCCTTGAGCTGAAGAGCTGAGGGACAGCGCCTAGGCCCAGAGTTGAGGCCCCACAACCAACAACAACAAAAAGAATAATGTCTATTAAATCTTTGGAGACACTTTTTTTTTCTCTCCAAAAATTTAATAGACATTATTCTTTTTTTTTCCTCCAAAGATTTAATAGACATTATTCTTTTTATTTTCATTTTTGGTTGGTTGTGGGGCCTCAACTCTGGGCCTAGGCACTGTCCCTCAGCTCTTAAGCTCAAGGCTAGCACTCTACCACTGAGCCACAGCACCATCTCCAGCTTTTTCCTGCTCATGTGGTGCTGAGGAATCGAACCCAGGGCCTCATGTGTGAAAGGCAAGCACTCTACTACCATTGAGCCACCTTTCCAGCCCTAGACATTATTCTTAACTCCTCATATTGTCATATCTCAAAGAACTATTGTTAGCCCTACCTTATGCAAGCGTTTGACTAGACCTTCATTATACTCTTGGCTGCCTTCAATCATGCCAGTTAGAGGGTTAGAGAACCATTCCTTGAACTCTCGATGAGACTGGAAGACATGGGGCATCAAAAAGTGCATCAAAGACCACAGTTCCATGAGGCTATTCTGCAAGGGAGTTCCTGTCAGGAGTAGACGTCTCTGGCTGAAAGAAATAAAGAGAATCAGAAAGGATGATCAGCAAGGTCCCAGACTTAATGTCTTTAATAACTTCCTCGACCCAGGAGTTGACCCTGAATTCAGGCCAGCCCAAGCTTCCCACAAACCTCCATCTTCATCTCTACCTGTTGAAGTTGAGCAGAGACTGCCAGCGCTGGGACTTGAAGTTCTTTATGTTCTGAGCTTCGTCCAGAATGAGATATCGCCAGTTCTTGCGGCGGAAGGCCTGGTGGTCCTGCAGCACCAGCTTGTAAGATGTAATACACACATGGAAGGCATTGGGCTTGGTCCAGCCCTGAAGTTGGGGGGTGGGGGAAGGGGGTGTCAAAGAAAGCAACGAACAATGGAATTAGAAAAAAAATGACAAGGTTTCAGCAAAAAATGTAAAGAAGCCCATCTAAAGGCCTAAAAACAAATTAGGCATCAATGTGGCATAGTGATTACATAAAGGATCAAACCTGCCGCTTGAGCTTCCTCTCTTTTTGGGCTCCATAGTAAGTGAGGATTTTAAAGCTGGGGCACCAACGTTTCAGCTCCATCTCCCAGTTCAACATCACACTGGTGGGAACAATGATTAAATGGGGACCCCAGTTACCTGTTTAACAAAAGGAGAAGACACAATAAGGCTAAACCTTGCAATCCTGGTTCCTTAAGTATAACCCTGATGAATACCTCCTTTACTGGCCTCTGAAGAATACTAGTACTTGCACAGTTCTTCCTGTGGAATTACTGGCCAGAGTCAATGAAGCTACAATAGATCAGTAAGGGAGAAAATATTTCACCTTTACTTTAGAATAGTCTTGGGCCTTGAATTCAGAGCCTGGATGCTGTCTGAGCTCTTTTGTGCTCAAGAATAGTGCTCTATTATTTGAGCCCAGCTCCACTTCCGGCTTTTTGGTGTTTAATTCAAGAGTCTCAAAGACTTTTCTGCCAGCTTGGCTTTGATCTTCAGATCTTAGCCTCCTCAACAGCTAGGATTACAGACATGAGCCACTGGATCCACCTATTTCACCTTCTTGCAGCTGAATCACCACTAAACAAGTTTGCCAGGGAATTGGCCAAGAGGCCCCAAGAAGGGCCCTGCCTATTCACCTTTCTCATAGGCCAAGTGCGCAAGCAAGGAGATGGTCTGGATTGTCTTCCCCAGCCCCATCTCATCAGCAAGAATGCCATTGAGTTTCTTCTCATACATAGTCACTAGCCAGTCGAGTCCAATGTGTTGGTATTCCCGGAGCTGGCCCCGTAGTAATAGGGGGATGGGAGTTTTCACCTGACGAGAAAAAAAAAAAAGAGGTTTTACCACACTGAACTGAGGCATCTGTCACTAGAAACAGTAAAGTCAAGATACGAAAAAGCAGACATTGAGGCATTGGGATACCTGGGTAGTGGCCAAGGTATAACCCTTGGGCTGGAGACTTTCAGCTGCTGCAGCGATGTCAGTAATTTCTTTCTTAGGGCCTAGAGTAGTGGTAGGCCCTGGAGTGGGAGGCCCACTACCTCCATCTGCCTCACTTTGCTCTTCATCCCGGGCAAGCAAGTACTCCACCCCAAAATCATCATCTTCCTCCTCTTCTTCATCTACTTGGCTCTGTGACTGGGCATCTTCAGACTCATCAGACTCAGATTCTTCTGATTCGGAACTTCTGCTCGTTTCTTCCTCCTCTGAATGCTCATCTTCTTCATCCTCACTCTGCTCCTCATCAGAGTCTAAATCACAAGATCAAAATTCAGAACTTGTTCCTCAAACACTTGTCCTCCCCACTTCTCTCAAAACTACACATTCACCTGACTGACTGCTACTATCCTCTTGATCCTCTTGAGCTGCCTCTTCAGTTTCTGTCGCCTCCTCTGGTTCACAGTCAGAACTGTTAGTGTCAACCTCTTCATCTTCATCTTCCTCATCCTCATCGCTACTCCCAGAGCCTGGAGCAGAGGCATCAGAAGCATAGGCTCCTGCATACTGTTGTAGTAGCTCTTCCATAGATAGCTCACCTGGGGGGAAATGAATGGTAAGCTTTTGGTGGCTTTAAGGGAATTTTAGGTGGTATCAGTTCATATTACTAGCTTTTTGTTAGATATTACCAGGTGAAAGTTTAATGAAAAACTGTAGTTTACTTTCAGTTCCCATTACCAAATCCAAGCCAAAAAAACCTAGGCTACAACCATGGGAGGAGCTGCCTTTTTCCTGGAAGGACATTACCTGGTAGACTTTTAAGATTTAGGTCAAGGGCTGGGAATGTGGCTTAGCGGTAGGTAGAGTGCTTGCCTAGCATGCATCAAGCCCTGGGTTCCATTTTTCATTACCAGATAAACAGGAAAAGCCAGAAGTGGCGCTGTGGCTCAAGTTAGAGTGCTAGCCTTGAGCAAAAGAAGCTCAGGAACAGTACCCAGGCCCCGAGTTCAAGTCCCAGGACTGGCAAAAAAAAAAAAAAAGAGAAAAAGAGAGAGAAAGAGAGAGAGAGAGAAAGAGAAAGAAAGAGAGAGATTGATTGATTTAGGTTAAATCAATCAAAGACTGTTAGGGTCTTATTAGAGATTCCTTGTATAAATATCCATATAACTTTGTTCAAATTTCCATCATAAACTCTCATCATTTTGTACTTAGAAGTTCCTAAGAAACTTATTCCTTATAAGTCTATCATTGTCAGCTTTATCTTTGTCACTAGAGCTAAAGTTCTACAAGGAAGATACAGAGTACCCAGTCAAGCTGGAGGACTAGACAGTATTTAATTTATTATCTCTTTATCCCCAACATTTTCCACAGTGGAATTCTAAGTAGATGCTCAGCAAAACATCCGGTGAATATCACCTTCTCGAGCCAATTCGCTCAGTTCCATGGCATGATCCACCTCCCCTTCCAACTGCTCCTCAGCTGCTATGGTATCCTCTTCATCTTCCGCTAGAAAGAGAATGAAGTAATATAAATGGAGAGTGAGATATAAGACATAATCTAATACAAATAGGTGAAAAAGCTCTAAACAGGATAAAGAGAACAAGTCTAACCTTCATCCTCATTGGCAGTAAACTCTTCATCATCTTCCTCTGGATGCCAAGGCTGTTTGTTGCACTGTGTGACTGAAGGTGAGGGCTTTACCTGTGAACAAGGTATGAAAAGTTAGAGCAACAGAAGGAAGACATAATGCTAAAGAAGACATGAGAAAATTCTCTGTCCCGTTGAGTGACAGCTGCCACTGGCACAATACCAGGGCAAGGATGCAATCAAGGATTTTCTTTCAGCACCAGCTACCAAATCCTAACCCCACTTCCTAGAGGAGGACCTGTGAAAGTGCTATGTAATTAAAGTGCCCCCCGCCCCGCCCCAACCCAGACATATGGACCAATAAGCACAAAGGTCTAGAAGAGATTTTGAGGTAGTCATCCCAGATCCCTAATTATAATCCAATAAAATATTAAGGATGTTTTACAGAACAGGAAAATAAGACCAAGAGAAACTCACATAGCAGCGTCAGGCACTGTGGCTTACGCATACAATCCTAGCTACTCAGAAGGCTGAGATCTGAGGATCGTGGTTCAAAGCCAGCCCAGGCAGGTAAGCCCATGAGACTCATGTCCAATAAACCATTCAGAAAACCAGAAGTAGCACTGTGGCTCAAGTGGTAGAGCACTAGCCTTGAGCTGAAGAGCTGAGGGACAGTGCTCAGGCCCACAGTTCAAGCCCCAAAACCGATCTCCCCCCAAAAAGAAGAAAAAGAAAAAAGCACATAACAAACTAAAAAGTAAACTCTTGGGCTGGGAATGTGGCCGAGGGGTAGAGTACTTGTGTAGCATGCATGGAAGTTTCAGGTTCGACTCCTCAGTACCACATAAACGGATAAAGCTGGAAGTATTGCTATGGCTCAAGTTGTAGAGTGCTAGTTTTGAGCAAAAGCTCAGGGACAGTGCCCAGGCCCTGAGTTTAAGCCCCAGCACTGGCATGTAGATATGTATATATATATATCTATAACTTAAGTATTTATATGGTTAAACATAGAACATGAGGCAGGGAAGGTAGCTCAGTGGTAGAGTGCTTGCCAGGGCATGAGGCCCTGGGTTCAATTCCTCAGCACCACATAAACAGAAAAAGCTGGAAATGGTGCTGTAGCTCAAGTAGTAGAGTGTTAGCCTTGAGCTGAAGAGCTCAGGGACAGTCCCCAGGCTCAGAGTTCAAGCCCCATGACCAACCGCCCCCAAAAAACAAAAAAACATAGAACATGAATCAAACTAAGGGACTACTCAGAGGGAAGGGAAAAAGGAAAAGAAACAAGGTGAGTAACTTTATAATACATGACAAGTATGAGGGCAACATAAACTCAGTAAAAGCTTTTGATTAGTTAGGGGGATAGGAGGTCAGTGGGTACTAGAAAGTTGGGCTCTGAGAATGATGAAAGTGGTTAAATACTGCCAAAATAGATTTGTAACTATGAAAATCGAACAATGAAATCATTTGAAGACTTGGGGTGGGGGAGAAGCATGGAGAATGAAAGTTGAGAGTAAGACTGATGGGAATATAGTGTGAACATGTGTGGAAATGTAACAAAATCACCACCCTATGTAACTAATATAAAAGAAAAAAAGTGCCAGGTGCTGGTGGCTCACACCTGTAATCCTAGTTATTCAGGAGGCTGAGATCTGAAGATCAGTTTGAAGACAGGCTGAACAAAGACTGTAAGATACTATATCCAATTAGCAAAATGCTGAACTGCAGGTGTGATTCAAGTGGTAGAGCATCAGACATGAGCCAAAAAACCACATAAGAGCTAGGTGCCAGTGGATCACACCTGTAATCCTAGCTACACGTGCGTACACACACACACACACAACCCTCTACCATAGCATCAGCCAAATTAAAGGCTGGAACTTGCCACAAACCCATTTCTCCCAGCTATTATTCCAAAATGATAGAACAACTTTCCTTAACTATAAGAGTTATAACAAGCAGGGCACCCAGTGGCTCACACCTGTAATCCTAGCTACTCAGGAGGCTGAGATCTGAGGCTCTCAGTTCAAAGACAGCCTAGGCAGGAAGTAAATGAGACTCTTATCTCCAATAAACTACTCGAAAACCAGAAGTGGCGCTGTGGCTCAAGCGGTAAGGGCACTTGCCTTGAGCACCTAAGCCCAGAGTTCAAGCCCCACGACTTGTTATTATTATAACAAAACTGGGCACTGATGGCTCACACCTGTAAACCTAGCTACTCAGAAGGCTAAGATCTGAAGATCATGGTTCAAAGCTAGCCTGGGAAGGAAAGTCTGTAAGACTCTTTCCTTCAATTACCCACCAGGAACCAAAAGTGGAGCTGTGGCTCAAAGTGGTAGAGTACTAGCCTTGAGTGAAAAAACTCAGGGACAGTGCCTAGACCCTGAGTTCAAGCCCCATAACCAACCAAAAGAGAACTATAACAACAAAAACAATCACCAATAAACAGCAAGAAACCTTCTCTTCTATTTTTACTTTAGTTCCTTCTAAAATATTACTGTGCCTGGTGCCAATGGTTCATGCCTGTAATCCTAGCTACTCATGAGTATGAGATCTGAGGATCTCAGTTCAAAGACAGCCTAGGCAGGAAGTCAATGAGACTCTTATCTCCAATTAACCACCAAAAAGCTGCAAGTAAAGGTGTAGTACAAGTGGTAGAGTGCCTGCCTTGAGTAAAAAGCCGAGCAAGAGTGCAAGGAGCTGAGTTCCAATCTCATGAATGAATGAATGGGCTGGGCACTGATGGCTCATGCCCCTTAGCTACTCAGGAGACTGAGATCTGAAGATTGTAGTTCAAAGCCAGCATAGGTAGGAAAATCCACGAAATTCTTATCTCCAATTAAGAATCAAAATAGGCCAGGCGCTGGTGGCTCACGCCTGTAATCCTAGCTACTCAGGAGGCTGAGATCTGAGGATCGCGGTTCAAAGCCAGCCCGGGCAGGAGAGACTGTGAGACTCCTATCTCCAATAAACCACCAGAAAACCGGAAGTGGCGCTGTAGCTCAAGTGGTAGAGCGCTCGCCTTGAGCTGAAGAGCTGAGGGACAGCGCCCAGGCCCAGAGATCAAGCCCCACGACCGACAAAAAAACAACAACAACAACAAAAAGAATCAAAATAGCCCTAAGTAGAGCCTATGGCTGAAGTGGTGCTACAGCCTTGTGCAAAAAAGGTCAGGGAGGGGCTGGGAATATGCCTTAGTGGTAGAATGCTTGCCTAGCATGCATGAAGCCCTGGGTTCAATTCCTTAGTACCACATAAACAGAAAAAGCCAGAAGTGGGTCTGTGGTTCAAGTGGCAGAGTGCTAACCTTAAGCAAAAAGCAGCTCAGGGACAGTGCCCAAGCCCTGAGTTCAAGTCCCGGGTCAAGCAAAGAAAAAAAGAAAAAGAAAATAAATAAAATATACATCTCCCTGTTTCTGAAATATGCTTCTTTTCAAGTTAGAGATGCCTTTATTTCTACTTGTAATTTTTATCAGAGATAGGTACAGAATGTTATAAAAATCTTTTTCACTTTTTTTCGGAGTGTTGGTACTGGAGCTTCAACTCAGGGCCTCACGGTCTCACTTTGACTGGTGTTCTACCATTTGAGCCACACCTCCACTTCACAAAAAAAAAGTCTTTGAAGACATCGGACAAGGCAATAGCAAGATGATAATGTAGTTATTAATTTTAATCTAGTAAAGTAGCTAAATATTAATGTTTTAATGCATTAAAGTAGCTTAGTGAGTATTGAGCTCTTCTTACATTTCTGGAATAAACTGTAGGGGGAAAAAAAAACCCACAGTAAGCCCAGGACTCAGACTAGTACCTCTCTCTCTATACTCCCACTCTGAGCCTTCCTCCCTCCATGTCTTCTACCTATACCTCCACCACCTGAGAGGGATCCTCTTCAACACATTCTTCAGGTCCATCTCGGGTATCACTATCATGAGATGAGGGGGTTTGAGAGGGACTGGAAGGCTCTTCCAGCAGCTGAGGTGGGAGGGAACGAAGCAGCTCTTCCAATGGCAGTTCTCCCTCACGTCGAAGCAGCTCAATCTCACGTCTCTGTGTCTCTGCATCATTGCCTTCCTGCTGTTCTTCAACCTCAATAGTCTCCTCATCATCCTCTTCCTCCTCCTCTTGGGGTTGGAAGTCCCCATCTATAGCAGGAGAATAAGGTCACAAAGTCCACGGGCCCTGCAAGCCACAGGGTGGGTTTTTCAGCTCAGGAAAGGGTACATGGGGAAGAGTAACAGGACCAGAGATAACACACACCTTCATCATCCAGCCGGGAAGCAGGGGGCGGAGGACTAGAGGCAGCTGAGGAAGAACCAAGGCAAGGGGAGGAACCAGCTTTGCTGGAAGCTAGTGGCTGGTTGAGGCTCTGAGACAGTAGATCAGAGTACTTTTCAGTTTGTCCCACAATGAAGTCTAGGTGCAAGTCCAAAGCTTTTTTGCGCTTTTCTTCAAGCCGGGACTGCTGCTTGAATTGAACAACCTGCAATAACCATGAAATAGACCAGTCACCAACAAACCCACTAATTTATATACTTTTACCCAACACTGAAGGTGGCTCTAGCCAAGCCACAAACCATTTAGGAGAATTAGAAAAAAAATTCTTAAGGTTGTTTTTAAGGAGCTCATTATTTCAGAATACGTCTGAGGAAAACAGAAAGGGAACAACACATCAAACAGCTATAGATGATTTGCAAATGTATCTGAAGCAACAGATGTAGTCCACTAATAAAGCACTTGCCTTGCATGCTTAAGGCTGAGTTCACTCCCTACTTAACACACACACAAAAAGCGGACTTATCTAGGTCCTTTCAAGTTTGTTTTTATAGATTGTTAGGTTAAGTAATTGGCAGTATTTTTACAATAAATTCATGGAAGTTACTTGTTTTACTGTTTATAACACTACTACTGCAATTTTGGCATACATAACTCCTAACATGCATATAAGGCTGAACAGATATGATATGAATGCTAGTTTATACAATTCTTTTCTTTTCTGTTTGTCAGTACTGAAGCTCGAACTCTGGCCCTAGGCACTGTCCCTGCACTCTTCAGCTCAAAGCAAGCACTCTACTACCTAAGCCACAGTGTCACTTCCAGTTTTCTGGTGGCTAAATGGAGATAAACAGTCTCATAGATTTTCCTGCTCAGGCTGGCTCTGAACCATGATTCTCAGATCTCAGCATCCTGATTAGCTAGGATTACACTGGCACCCAGCTATACAATGATTTTCTCTAGTGTTATTTTTTTATTGAGTCTTTTTTTGTTTGTTTGCTTCAGATACTTTTATGAAGTCAAAATAAAAGCCTCAACGAAACATAAAATTCTTATTAAAAAGCTTAGGGCCAGCCAGGCGCCAGTGGCTCACACATGTAACCCTAGCTACTCAAGAGGCTGAGCTCTGAGGATGGCGGTTCAAAGCCAGCTGGGGCAGGAAAGTCCGTGAGACTCTTACCTCCAATTAACCACCAGAAAGTGGTGGTGTGGCTCAAGTGTTAGAGTGCTCACCTTGAGCAGAAGAGCTTAGAGATAATACCCAGGCCCAGAATTCAAGCCCCATGACTAAAAAAAAAAAGTTCAGGGGCTGGATCCTGATGGCTCACACCTGTAATCCTATTCAGGAGACTGAGATCTGAGGATCATGAAATTCTTATGTCCAATTAACCACTTAAAAACTGAAAGTGGTTCCTGTGCCTCAAAGTGGTAGAGCGCTAGTCTTGAGTAGAAAAGTTCAAGGACAGGGCCCTAAGTTCAAGCCCTACAATTAGGTAACTAGATAGAGAGAGAAAATGTCAATACTCCTAAAAGTAATCTACAGATTCAAGGAAATACTAATCAAAATCTCAATGTCAATTCTTCATAGAAATAGGAAAAATCCAAAAAATTATATAGAAGTTTTAAAAACCACAAATAGCAAAAGCAATTCTGGGTAAAAAGAACAATGCTGGAAACATCACAATGATCAAACTTCAAATTATACTAAGTCTCTGCAACCAACAAATGGTGCTGGGAAAACTAGTTATCACCAGCAGGAGACAATTGACCCTTATGTGTCACTCTGCACAAAAACCAACTCCAAAGAATCAAAATACTCAAAGTAAGACCAGAAACTTTATGTCTAACACAAGAAAACAAGAAAAACCCTGGAAGTTATGGATTCAGGTAATTTTAACAGAACTCTAATTGCCCAGAAAATAAAAACAAGAATTGACAAATGACATAGTGTGCTTGTGGCTCACACCAATAACCCTAGCTACTCAGGAGGCTAAAATCTGATGATCATGGTACAAAGCCAGGCCGAGCAAGGAAAGTTCAAGCCCCACAACTGACCCCCCCACACACACACACACAAAAAAAAAGAAAATACAGAATTAAATGTCAGTGATTTATGCTTGTTATCCTAGCTACTCTGGAGGCTGAGATTCGAGGATCATGATTTGAAGCCACTCTGGGCAGGTAAGTCTGAGAAACTATTTTATCTCCCATTTATCAGCAAAAGTCAGAAGTGGTAGAGAGCCAGGCTTAAAAGGAAAAGTATAGGGCTGGGAAAGTGGCTCAGTGGTAGAGTGCTTGCCTTGCATGCATGAGGCCCTGGGTTCAATTCCTCAGCACCACATAAGCAGAAAAAGCCAAAAGTGGCACTGTGGCTCAAGTGGTAGAGCATTAGCCTTGAGCTGAAGAGCTGAGGGACAGCACCTAGGCCCAGAGTTCAGGCCCCACAACCAACCAAAAAAAAAAAAAAAAAAAAAGAAAAAAAAATGGAAAAGTATAGTAAAATTCTATCTTACCTGTCAGAATGGCAATCATCAAGAAAACAAACATTAAGCATTGGTGGCTCACTCCTGTAATCCTACCTATTCAGGAGGCTGAGATCTGAGGATTGTGGTTCAGCCAGCCTGAACATGAAAGTCTAAGGGACTCATATCTCTGTTAGCCACCAAAATGCATGAAGGGTGGCAAAAAACTTAGGAACAGCACCCAGGCCCTGTTGAGTTCAAGCCCCAGGAGCAGCAAACACTGGGGGGGGGGGGGGGGGGGGGGGGCAGGGGGCAGAGAAAGAAAGAAAAAAGAAGCCGGGCACTGGTGGATCACGCTTATAATCCTAGCTACTCAGGAGGCTGAGATCTGAGAATCATGGTTCAAAGCTAGCCAGTTCAAAGCCAGCCTGGGCAGGAAAGTCCATGAGACTTATCTCTAATAAACCACTCAGAAAACGGGAAGTGGCACTGTGGCGCAAGTGGTAGAGTCCTAGCCTTGAGCTGAAGAGCTGAGAGGCAGTGCCCAGGCCCAGAGTTCAAGCCTCACCACCGAACAAAAGAGAGAGAGAGAGAGAGAGAGAGAGAGAGAGAAGAAAACAAACGCTAGTGAGGATTCAGGGGGAAAAAAAGGAATTGTCATACATTACTGATAGGGATGTAAACTAGAGCAACCACTGTAGAAATCCATGTGGAAGAGGCTGGGAAGGTGGCTCAGTGGTAGAGCACTTGCCTTGCATACCTAAGGCCCTGGTCGATTCCTCAGCACCACATAAGCAAAAAGAAAAAAGCCGGAGTGGCGCTGTGGCTCAAGTGGTAGAGCGCTAGCCTTGAGCTGAAGAGCTGAGGGACAGCGCCCAGACCCAGAGTTCAGGCCCCACAACCAGACCTCTCCCCCCCGAAAAAAGAAATCCATGTGGAAGTTCTTCAAATGATAAAATTAGACCTTGCCTACGACACTATGACACTATCATACAACCATTGGGCATATATTTGAAGGAGTATAAATCAATGTTCATGTTTATTGCAACACTGTTCACAATAAATGATAAAATCAACTAAGGTATCCAACAACAGATAAATAAAGAAGATATGGTACATATATACCATGAAATATTACACAGTCATCAAGAAAAATGAAATCATGTAATCTGGAGGAAAATGGATGGAATTGGTGAGCATATGGACAGGGAACATATGAATAGCCAATTATGTTTACACTCATGTGTGGAAGCTAGACCTAAAAGAAACATGTTCGTGGACATGTAATATGTATAAACTACATAATATACACACATACACACATATATAAAGGACATGATTATAGGAGTATGTAGGAAGATGAAGCAGAGAGGGGAAAAAAAGATGGAGGGTAAACAGTAACAGTGCAAATATCTATGTATTAAAACACCATAAAGGAACAGATTGCTTAGGCCAGGGGCCAGTGGATCACACCTGTACTCCTAGCTTCTCAGGAGGTTGAGATCTGAGGATTGCTGTTCGAAATCAGCCTGGGCAGGAAAGCCTGTGAACCTATTATCTCCACTAAAGTATCCAAACAAAGCTCAAATGGTAGAATGCTAGCCTTTACCAATGTAAACTCTGATACCCAAGCCCTGAATACAAGCCCCAGGATTGGCACCAAAAAAACTAGATTGCTTACTAAGAAAGAAAAAAAAAAAAAAAAATGCTGAGTGCCAGTGGCTCATGCCTATAATCCTAGCTACTCAAGAGGCTGAGATCTGAGGATGCCAGTTCAAAGCCAGCCCAGGCAGGTAAGTCCATGAGACTCTTATCTCCAATTAACCACAAGAAAACCAGAAGTGCCACTATGGCTCAAGTGGTAGAGTGCTCACCTTGAGCTGATGAGCTGAAGGACAGTGCCCAGGCCCAGAGTTCAAAGCCCAGGACAAAAAAAAAAAGCAGGGCTGGGTCCGCCTTAGTAATAGAGTGCTTGCCTAGCATGCATGAAGCCCTGGGTTCAATTCTTCAGTACCACATAAACAGAAAAAGCCAGAAGTGTGGCTGAAGTGGTAGAGTGCCAGCCTTGAGCAAAAAGCAGCTCAGGGATAGTGCCAAAGCCCTGAGTTCAAGCCCCAGGACTGGCAAAAAAAAAAAAAGGGGGGGAAAAGAGGTACTGGGCCTTAGATTTTTAAATGTAAAGGTGGGAAAGGGTTACCAAGTATTTCCTTCTTCCTCAGCACTCAATACTAGAAAAGTCCGAAGCAATAATAGTTGCTTTAAGTTGTATATTCATACCTCAAGGAAAATTTTTTTTTTTTTTTTGTCGGTCGTGGGGCTTGAACTCTGGGCCTGGGCGCTGTCCCTCAGCTCTTCAGCTCAAGGCGAGCGCTCTACCACTTGAGCTACAGCGCCACTTCCGGTTTTCTGGTGGTTTATTGGAGATAGGAGTCTCACGGTCTCTCCTGCCCGGGCTGGCTTTGAACCGCGATCCTCAGATCTCAGCTTCCTGAGTAGCTAGGATTACAGGCGTGAGCCACCAGCGCCTGGCTTCAAGGAAAATTTTTGATCATTCCTACTAACATGCCAACCTACACTCCTAAGGCCACTACCCTCTCTCAATTTCTACTACTTACCTTCTCAACATTGCTCCAGAACTGCCGGACATCCTTGGCCATGGTGGAAGCAATTCTTCGAAGCTTGGCCTGCTCCTCCCTCCGAGCCCGTTCTTCTTTCTGCCGCTGTTCCTCGTGATGCCTGATCACCATGCGTACCACCTATGGCAATAAAGACCAAACATAAAAACACTCAAAGCCACTGGGCACTGGTGGGTTATTACTGTAATCCCAGCTACTCAGGAGGCTGAAATCTGAGGATCGCAGTTCAATCACCAAAAACAGCCAAAGGAAATAGAACTGTGGCTCAAGTGGTAGAATGCTAGCCTTCTGCAAATTAAGCTCTTGGAACAAGTCCAAGACTGGCACAAAAGAAAAAACAAAAAAAACAAACTGAAAAAGGCAAAGCTCCTTATCAACCACCCAAACAAAAGGCAAAGAAATCAATCCAGGGAAGTCGGGGGTGCTGGTGGTTCATGCCTGTAATCCTAGCTACTCAGGAGGCTGAGATCTGAGGATCATGGTTTGAAGCCACTCCTGGCAGTAAAGTCCACTAGACTTTTAGCTCCAATAAACTAATCAGAAAAAGCCGAAGTGGTGCTGTGGCTGAAGTGGTTGAGGAGTAGCCTTGAGCACAAAGAGGCTCAGGGACAACATCCATGCCCTGAATACCGACAAAGAAAAAAAAAAAAACAATGAAGAGGAAAAAAAAAATCAGGGATGTAGGAGCTTCTTCTTAGTGCTACAAGTAGCAAAAAAGATCACACTGTTCTGTTTTGTTTCTTTCCAAATAACCCAACTATCAAAGGAAAGCACACTTGAAAGGTTGACCCAGTTGAGTACATACCTTACGAGCCACACCCCGTTTCCATCGGCGCTCCTGAGCAAAGTCAGCAGAGAGCCACTGCATCTCCTCACACAGATAATCCCAGTGGCCTTTTGGCCGTGGAGGCTCTGGCACCTTAGGTAGCCTCTTCAGTGACCAGAATCCCTCCTTCCGAAGCTCAGCAATCCGAGTTTCAATTTCAGCTTCCTAAGAAGGGGCAGTTAGGTCAATCAACAGTTCCTGAAGCTGGGCACTGATGGCTCACACTTGTAATCTTAGCTACTCAGAGGCTGAGATCTATAGATCACAGTTTGAAACCAGTCCAAAAATAAAGTCTGTGAGACTCTTATTACAATTAACCACCAGAAAACCAGAAGTGGCACTGTGGCTCAAAGTTAGAGAGCTAGCCTTGAGCAAAAAAGCCCATAGACGGGCTAGGAAGGTGGCTCAATGGTAGAACGCTTGCCTTGCATGCATGAGGCCCTGGGTTCAATTCCTAAGCACCATATAAGCAGAAAAAAAAGCCGGAAGTGGCGTTGTGGCTCAAGTGGTAGAGTGCTAGCCTTGAGCTGAAGAGCTGAGGGACAGCATCCAGAGTTCAAGCCCCATGACCGGACCCAAAAAAAAAGCCCATGGACAACACCCAGACCCTGAGTTCAAGACCCATAACTGACGGGGGAAAAAAAAAGTTCCTGGACATAAAAGCTGAATTCTTAAGCACTGAGAGGGCTGTTTCATGTTCTCCTCAGATGAAGGAAAAAAGACCAAAGAGATTAAAATCATTTCTCTGACAGAATGGAGCTAAGAACTGGGAATCAAAAACAGGTCTAAGAACTCCAGACACCAGATTTCATGCTTTTTCCATTATTCCACACAATATTTGTTTGTAACCCATGGACATGAGTGAGAAACATCTCCCAGAGAAGCAAAGAATACAAGTATCCTTTTTTTAAACTCTATATAAAAGGGCTCTTTAAAACAATAGAACTATATTTCCTCGGAGTAATGTTTAAGCTTATAAATTTGTTATAGAGTCTAATTTATACAATCATTTTTGCTTTCAAATATACTTTTAAGGTTGCTAGCTCTGTAGCTTCATGTTAGAACGTTTGCCCAACACATATAAGACCAGGTGTTCAATACCTACCACAGAACAGAAACAAAATAGAAACCCCTACCCCTCCACCCCCACAAAAAAATGGTTGCCAACACTGCTTTTCATGCAAAAACTACTGAAAAGCTATACATGACAACAGTGGTTGGGTATAACAAAAAAATTACTAAATTTAAAAAAAGGCTGGGGGCACAGCTAAAGAGAAAAAGCTCCCACCAGTTGCCAGTGGTTCATGATTATAATCCTAAACTACTGAGAAACTTGAGATCTGAGAATGCCAGTTTACAAAGTCAGACAGCCCAGGCAAAAAAAAAACTGGACAAAGTTCCAATTAACTAGCAAAAGCTAGAAGCAGAGATGTGGCTCAAGTGGTAGACCATCAGTCTTGAATGAAAATGCTAAGCCAGAGTGTCAGCCAGAGCTAAGACTTGAGTTCAAGTCCCAGTGCTGGCTCAATAAAACAAACAAACAAAAAAAGAGAGGCTGGGAAGGTGGCTCAGTGGTAGAGTGCTTGCCTTGCATGCATGAGGCCCTGGGTTTTGAGTCCTCAGCACCACATAAGCAGAAAAAGCTGGAAGTGGTGCTGTGGCTGAAGTGGTAGAGCGCTAGCCTTGAGCTGAAGAGCTGAAGGACAGTGCCCAGGCCCAGAGTTCAAGCCCCATGATAGGCAAAAAGAAAAAAGAGGCACAGCCCCAAATTCAAACCCAAGGACTACAAATAATAGCAAAAACCTCAGCACAGGGCCAAACTGCTGATATACAACTATAATCCCAGCACTAGGGAGGCTGGAATAGAAGCATTACAAGTTTTAGGCCACCATCAAACTTGTAATTTGGAAAGGGAAAATCCCTCAAGATAAATGTTAAATTGGGGAAAATGATAGAGATGAGGCAAAGAATTAGCCTGATGGTGGGAGGAAAAAATAAAGGAAGTCATGGATAGCAGTGGCTCTCGAATTTAAGCATGCATAAAATGACCTGAAGTTTTAAAATATTGCTAGGTATCATCCCAAAATTTTAAATGAATAGTACCAAGAATATGTATTTATAATAAGCTTCCAGGTGATGCAGACACCCAGGGACTACCACACTTACCACTGGATAAACTTAACAGGCAGCAGAATAGAAGTAAGTAGAAATTAGTAAATCTTAAGAGCATCAAAGTTTATCAAGTACTTTCATGTCTAATTCTTCCTTTAATTTTAACTTCACTATAGATAAGCACTTGCCAAACATGTGCTCTGATTTCAATCTCCAGTAAATCCCAGGAAGAAAAAAACATAAGCATGGTAACAGATATGTTAACAGATTTTTTTTTTCTTTAGTGTCAGTCCTGGGGCTTGAACTCAGGGCCTAGGTAGTGTCCCTTAGCTTCGTCCGTGTATGTGTGTGTCGCGGGGCTTGAACTCAGGGCCTAGGTAGTGTTCCTTAGTTTCTCGTGTGTGTGTTTGTATGTGTGTGTGTGTCTCTCCCTCTCTCTCTGTTTGTGTGTCTCCCTCTCTCCCTCTCCCTCCCCCCCCCCCCCCTCTCTGCTTGAACTCGGGGTCTGAGCGCTGTCCCTGAGCTCTTCAGCTCAAGGTGAATGCTCTACCACTTGGGCCACAGCGCCACTTCTGGTTTTCTGGTGGTTAATTGGAGATAAAAGTCTCATGGACTTTCCTGCCTGGACTGGGTTTAAACTGCAATCCTCAGATCTCAGTCTCCTGAGTAGCTAGGATTACAGGTGTGAGCCACCAGTGCCCAGCTTGTCCCTAAACTTTTGTGTTAAAGGCTAGTACTTTATTACGTGAGTCATAGTACAGCCACTTCATTTTTGGTGCTTAATTGGAGATTAAGAGTATCACAGGCTTTCCTGCCTGGGTTGGCCTCAATCCAAGATCCTCAAATCTCAGCGTCCAAAGTAGGTAGGATTACAGGTATGAGCCACTGTGCCTAGATCAGATATCTCTATCTTAAAAAATCTGGGCTGGGGATTATCTCAGTAGCAAAGCACTTGCCTAGCATTTATGAGGCCCTGGGTTTGACAGAACAAAATAAATAAAAGAGAAAATGAATCTTAGAATTTAAGCATACACTTAACAGGATAAAAGCTAAGATAGACCCTATACCCTAAATCCACAAGAAACAGAGACATGTAAAATACCCATGGGACACGACTGAGTATTAAGAGATGACTCCCAAGAATCCTCACAGACTTTCCCAATACGTACATGCTTGGCTTGCTCTGCAATTTCTGCATGGCTCTTTTCCCACTTTGGGCCCTTATTAGCCAAGTCAGCAGCCTGGGGTAAGCTGAGCCCTTCCAGGGGCACTGTGGCACCATCTGAGGAGCCTGAAGGTCCATCCAAAGAAGAATCTTGAGCTATGTGCTGGGGGGAGATGCCACCTGCCCCACTAGAGGCTGGGGAACTAGATGAGGCAGGGGACACAGGATTGCTGCCTGTCATGCCGTCCGACACCATCTAGAAAAGAGGAAATGATGGAAAAAAGTATCAATTAGCACGTACTGTTTTATGTATATTATTCTATTCTAGTCCATTGAACAAGCCAAGATGTTTGACACACTACAGTTCTATCCATCTGAGTACCCAAGATTCTCTAGACAAAGAGGCTCAGTTAGGACCTGCAACTTCTGATTCAAAGCCAGCAACACACAAAACAGAAATAGAAATGGAACCATTCCCACTTTCAAACCTGTGTCTGTAGAATTGGGAGCTGAGGATGAGCAGGGGAGGGGCTGCTCTGCATGGTCCCACTCCCAGGCTCCTTGTTGGATGCCTGAAGAATAGCTGAGTTGTTATTACCACTGCTGCAGGCCGAGGGGCTGGCGTCCGGCTGCAGGGCATACTGGGAGCTGGCCTCATTCTGGGCCACCAGCCACCGGGACCCGCCTTCCAGGGCCCGGGGCCCACCAGGGCCTCCCAGCCTCTGTTCAGGTCCACCAGTCTCTGGAGCACCTAAAAGTAGGATAGAAATGAATTAAAGGAGATTGAAGTTGTTTGGCTTATTGTGGGTGCTTATTTTTTGTTTGTTAATTTGTCAGTCTTGGGGCTTGAACTCTGGCCCTGGGCACGGTACCTGAGCTCTTCAGCTGAAGGCTAACACTCTACCACTTGAGCCACAGTGCCACTTCTGGTTTTCTGAGTGGTTTATTGGAGATAAGAGTCTCACGGACTTTCCTGCCTGGGCTGGCTTTGAACCATAACCTTCAGATCTCAGCCTTTTTTTGTGTGTGTGGGGGGGGGGGGGTCCAGTCGTGGGGCCTGAACTCTGGGCCTGGACGCTGTCCCTCAGCTCTTCAGCTCAAGGCTAGTGCTCTACCACTTGAGCCACAGTGCCACTTCCGGCTTTTTTATTTTTGCTTATGTGATGCTGAGGAATAGAACCCAGGGCCTCAAGCATGCAAGGCAAGTGCTCTACCACTGAGTCACCTTCCCAGCCCCCAGATCTCAGCCCTCTGACTAGCTAGGATTACAGGCTTGAGCCACCGGCACCTAGCATGTGGTTGTTTTTTGGTGCCAGTCCTAGGGCTTAAACTCAGGACATGGGTGCTGTCCTTGAGCTGTTTTGCTCAAGACTAGTGCAAAAAAGGCTGAGTTCAAGCACCTGTAACAGTATTAACGTATGTGCATGCATACACATATACAACCACATACACAATTAAAAAAAAAAAAACGCAAGAAAACATTATGGTAAACACAGTAGTACTTGCTTAACTGGATATAGTGGCACGCACATATAGCTATTTGGGAAGTTTCAGTGATGGAACTGAGCCTAGGAGTTGATGATCAGCCTGGGAAACATAATGAAACCCCATTTAAAAACAATAACACACCAACAGCCAGGCACCGGTGGCTCATGCCTGTAATCCTAGCTACTCAGGAGGCTGAGATCTGAGGATTGCAGTTCAAAGCCAGCCAAAGCAGGAAAGTCTGTAAGACTCTTATCTCCAATTAACCAGAAAACTGGAAGTAGTTCTGTGGCTCAAGTGGTAGAGCGCTCACCTAGAGCCGAAGAGCTGAGGGACACTGCCCAGGCCCAGAGTTCAAGCCCTATGACCGACCAAAAAAAAAAGACATTTCTAAAGCAGTAAGATCCTCTTTCCTAACTTGTGAACCAGGTACCTTTCAAAACATACAAAATGATTATATAGTTTCTCCCAAACACTGAAAATAAAAGTATGTAGAACAAATCATTGCTTGAAATGGGACTTAAACTCCAATATCATCTCTGTAAGTTCAAAAATGAGATTCAAAGAAAACAAATAACTTAAGGCTAGGTAGTCTCATGGGTTTTTCTCAACCCATCCACAGTCCCAGATTGTTATCAGTATCAAAAATCCCTAATAGCTGGGCTTGAGTGGCTCAAGCATGTAGTCCTAGCTACTCTGGAGGCCGAGATATGAGGATTACAGTGCCAAGTCAGCCCAGGTAGGAAATCCCATGAGATTTGACAATGAACTACCAAAACAAAAAGCTGGAAATGGAGCTGTAGCTCAAGTGATTGAGCACTAGGATTGAGCAAAACAGCTCACGGAGCTGGGCACTGGTGGCTCACGCCTGTAATCCTAGTTACTGAGGAAGCTGAGATCTGAGGATTGTGGTTCAAAGCCAGCCCAGGCAGGAAAGCCTATGAGACTCTTACTTCTAATAAACCACCAGAAAACCGCAAATAATGCTGTGGCTCAAGTGGTAGAGCACTTGCCTTGAGGTGAAGAGCTCAGAGACAGTGTCCAGGCCAAGTTCAAGCCCCATGACCAACAACAAAAAAAAAAAAACAGTTCATGGATGGAGCCCAGGCCCTCAGTTCAAGCCCCAGAGCTAGAAAACAAAGACAAAACAAAATAAAAAGCCTCCACAGAAATTCACATGCAAGGGTCTGAGAAGGTGGCTCAGTGGTAGAGTGCTTGCCTTGCATGCATGAGGCCCTGGGCTTGATTCCTCAGCACCACATAAGCAGAAAAAGCCAGAAGTGGGACTGAGGCTCAAGTGTAGAGTGCTAGCCTTGAGCTGAAGAGCTGAGGGACAGTGTCCAGACCCAGAGTTCAGGCCCCACGACCAGAAAAAAAAAAGAAAGAAAGAAATTCACATGCAAATTCTTCCATAGTTCTCAAGAGCAAAAACCCAGAAATATAGAACTGTGACTCCAGTCATTTCATACATTTTTTTTCCATTAGCATCAACATATAAAATGGTATCTAAACACTCCTCACCTGTGTGAGCTGAGACCACACCCCCTGTGAAAGTCTGCACTTCCACGGTGCCGCCGTAATGAGAAGGATCACACCTAAAACAAAATGGAAGAAAATCAGAATTGAGAAATAAACACACAGTAGTGCTCACCAGTAACTCATGCCTATAATCTTTGCTACTCAGGAGGAGGCTGAGACCCAGAGAATCATGGTTCAACATATACAAGACTATCTCCTTAACAATAAAATTCTGGGCTGGAAGTGTGGGTCAAGAGAGTATCAGCTCTGAGCAAGATGGAAGACTTGAGCTTAAGTTCAAGCACCAGTATTGAAAAAAAAAAAACTCATATTTGCCAATGTTCATCTAAGTTTATAATGTGCTCCAGATTCCTGAGATTTTTAAATATTTCCCAAATCAGCTGGCAAAGTAGTAGGGAAGGCTCATGCTTCAAAAAATAAAAGCAGGGCTGGGAAGGTGGCTCAGTGGTAGAGCGCTTGACTTGCATGCCTGAGGCCCTGGGTTCGATTCCTCAGCACCACATAAGCAAAAAGAAAAAAGCCAGAAGTAGTGCTGTGGCTCAAGTGGTAGAGCGTTAGCCTTGAGCTGAAGAGCTGAGGGACAGTGCCCAGGCCCAGAGTTCAGGCCCCATGACCGGACCCAAAAATAAATAAATAAAAAATAAAAGCAAACTATATTTTGTGAAAGGAGAATTCACTATTCTTCCTGTAATAGGAACAGCGAAGAAATGATGCATACATACAAGATCAAGTGTAAAAGACTAAGTGTAATAGAGTCCAATTGCAGTGTGGACAAACTTAAACCAAAAATATGCCATGTCCAGCAGCTCAAAAAAGATGCTGGCTACCTGGTAGCTTGCTTTCCTCAACCATCAGGATACAAGAATGGAATTCCCGGGAATGCTCCTGGTTACAGGAGAATCTACCCAGGATTCATCTCAGAACCCTTTTAATCCTCTACCGGCTCCACAAGATATTTCCTGAAACCCAAGCACTTCATCGAGAAATATTAAAGAGCTGGCAGATGCGAGGAAGGCCTCACAGCGAAGGACCATGCACCGGAAACAGGCAGGGTTAACCCACACAAGGCCCGGAAGCGTTTTCCCAGTGTTTAAGGAAATCCCTTAACCACGGTGCTGCCTTGATTCGCTCAACCTCCACAACAGATTCCTAGGACCCAAGGGAACCAGACTCCCAAGAAGCCTGAACTCTTGACCCACCCTTCACCGCAGTCTCCCCAACCCTCCGACTCGATGACCCGACGTGACCTCTAACCTCGGCCCAAGGTGCCACCAATCCTAAGAGTCCCGCCCTCTCCAGGACTCCCACCCCACCCAACGTGCGCGCCAGCCTGGGGGAGGGGCCTGCGCGTGCGCGGCTGGAGGCGGAGCAAGCCGACGGCGCGCACGACCTGGGGGCTCCCGCCAGCACCCGGACCCACGCGCCCAAGAACCGCCGGACCAGGCAACCCCTCGTCCGCGCACGCCAGGACCCCCCCCACACACACACTGCCACACGGCCAAAGGCTACGAGGAGAGAGGGCTCGTGCCAGGTCCAGTTGCCCAGACTGGACATGATGGGCGTGCGCCCCGACTACGCGCCCCACGCCCCCCTTCCTCTTCCCGCGCGCCCCTGAAGGGGACTGAGGTGGGCGGGCAAGAGCGCACCTGGGTCCGTCCTCAGGACTCGCTCGCTCAGGCACGCGTGCGCAGAAGGGCGCGCGGGGAGTGGAGACGCGCTGCGGTTCAGCGCCTGCCGGCTAGGCCGCTCAGCCTGTCTCTATGGGCGCGCGCCGACAGCCTCGCGCACCGGCCCCGGGCCCCGGCAGGAGGTGCGCGCGCAGCACCCCGGGAAGGTGGGAGGGAGGCGGCAGCGGGGATGCGCGCGCAGTTGCCGGCCGGGGGAGGGGCACTGTGGGGCGTCCGCCATCTTGTCTCCCTCTTCTTACCTGCGTCCTCGGGGGCGTGCGCACCACCCCCCTCCCGCCGAGGAGGGGGGAGGGCCCCCTCTTGACCGACGCCTTCACGGCCTTTTAAATTCCCCTGGGAACCGCGGCTACGGCCGCCGCTCTGCCTCCACTGTCTCCCCTCGCGGCGCGGAGACGCAGGCAGTGTGCTGAAGAAAAGGGAGCCCCTACTCCCAGCGAACTGCCGCCGCTGCTCCCGAGGCCTCACCAAAATGGCCGCCGCCGTCTCGGCCGCCACCACCACCAACCACAACCAGCACGGCTCGCTACCGCTACCGCCGGCGCGGCCGGTACTCTCGCGAGAGACAGTAACTGGAGGTTGGGGGCGGGGAGGCTCGCCTGTGAGCGTAGGGCGCTGTTCGGCGCGCAAGGCAAGCTGGGAGGTGTAGTACGCCCCCAGGCTCGGCGCGGCCCCGCACCAGCCATCTCAACCCCTGCGACCGAAGCAGTCTCCAGCTGCATTGCGGGTGCCACCGCCGCTTCCCTTTCTATTTCTTTTTTGTAGATCCCCCAGTGAAATGAAGAAAATTAGCAGTGGAGATTGGCCCTTCCGACTCCGACGGCAGCCCGCTTTTGCAGCGTTGCTGCTTTTTATGAAGATGGTTTCTCCATAACTGCCAAATACCTGCTCTATCCCTTAGCAAACTTTCTAGGGTTAAGAACCCCATTGAGGGGCTGGGAAGGTGGCCCAGTGGTAGATCGCTTGCCTTGCATGCATGAGACCCTGAGTTCGATTCCTCAGCACCACATAAGCAGAAAGAAAAAAGCCGGAAGTGGCGCTGTGGCTCAAGTGGTAGAGCGCTAGCTTTGAAGAACTGAGGGACAGTGCCCAGGCCCAGAGTTCAGGCCCCACGACCAACAAAAAAAAAAAACCTTTGAGGTCAGGTGCCGATGTCACCTGCCTGTGATCTTAGCTACTCAGTAAGCTGAGAGCTGAGGATTGCAGTTCGAAACCAGCCCAGCCCAGGCAGGAAAGTCCACTACTAGTGAACTACCAGAAACCTAGAATAGGTGGCTAAAAGGTAGTGTCAGCCTTGAGAGAGAAAACTGTAAGGAATAGAGCCCAGGTTCTGAATTCAAGATCCCAGGGCACATGGGCACAAAAGACCCATGGGCACAAAAAATAAAAAAGAAGAAGAAGAAGAAAAGCCGGGCAGGAGTGGCTGACACCTGTAATGCACCTGCCAGAGGCTGAGATCTGAAGAGCAACCACAGAAGTCAGTCCAGGCAGAAAAGTTCCAATTAACCACTCACAAACCAAAAGCAAGCTTTGAGCAAAAAGAGGCTCAGGGACAGCGCCCAGACCCTGAGTTCAAGCCCCACGACAGACCAAAAAAAAAAAAAAGCCCAGGCCCAGAGTTCTTCAGCTCAAGGCTAACACTGTACCACTTGAGCCACTTCCGGTTTTCTGGTGGTTAATTGGAGATGAGAGTCTCACGGACTTTACCGCCTGGGCTAGCTTTGAATCGCGATCCTCAGATCTCAGCCTCCTGAGTAGCTAGGATTAGAGGCCTGAGCCACCAGTGCCGGACCAAAAAAAAAAAAAAACTTTTAAGGATGTGATACTTTCACCCCCAGAATAGAACAATAAAGATAGCTACCTTCAACTAGACTATTTTGTGCATTACTTCTTTTACCTTAGCAGTGTTACAGATAGTTGATTTTACCAGTGAACTAGGGGCTGGGAAGGTGGCTCAGTGGTAGAGTGCTTGCCTTGCATGCATGAGGCCTTTTGTTTGATTCCTTAGCACCACATAAGCAGAAAAAGCTGGAAGTGGCACTATGGCTCAAGTAGTAAGGTGCTAGCCTTGAGCTGAAGAGCTCAGGGACAGTGCTCAGGCCCAGAGTTAAAGCTGAGAGCGGAACTATAACTTTTTGTTGGTGGTGGTGGTGGTCGAACTCAGAGCTTGGGCACTGTCACTGAGCAGCTTTTGCTCAAGACTAGCACTCTACCACTTGAACCACAGCACCACTTACAGTTTTTTCTGTTTATAGGTACTGAGAAATCAAACCCAGGGCTTCATTAATGCTAGACAAGCACTTTACCACTAAGCCACATTTCTAGCCCTGGAACTGTGACTCTTTACTTTACCTTGAGCATTAAAACCCTCAGGGGCAGCAGCCCAGGCCCTAAGTTCAAGCCTTTGTACTGACACACTAAAAGTGAACCCATTTTCTGAAACAAAAACCTGATCCTCTTTCCTTCTGCTTCGAGGAAATGAGCCACCATCCATCTAGTTGTTCAAACTAGAAATGAAGGCAATGCCTTCTTCAACTGAACAGCCAGCCACCAACTCTTGTCCACTATACTAGTTTATTTTTGCTGCCAGTCCTGGGGCTTGAACTCAGAGTCTTTGCACTGTTCCTGAGCTTTGTTGCTCTACCACTTGAGCCATAGTTCCATTTCCAACTTTTTGGTGGTTAGAGATAAGAGGTTCATGGACTTTCCTGCCAGGGATGGCTTTTTGAACTCTGATCTCCAGATCTCAGCTTCCTGAGTAGCTAATATTACTGATGTGAACCCTAATCTTCAGATTGCAAATTTCTGAGTAGCTAGCATTACTTGTGTGAATCCTAATCTTCAGATCCCAGCTGAGTAGTTAGCATAACTGGTGTGAGGCACAGATGCCAGCCTAATTGGTTTGTTTTGTTGTTTTGTTTTGGCAGTAGTAAGGATAAAACCCAGGGTCTTGGGCTGGGAAGGTGGCTCAGTAGTAGAGTGTTTGCCTTATATGCATGAAGCCCTGTGTTCCATTCCTCAGCACCACATAAGCAGAAAAAGCTGGAAGTGGCATTGTGCCTCAAGTGGTAGAGTGCTTGCCTTAAGCTGAAGAGCTCAGGGACAGCACCCAGGCCCAGAGTTCAAGCCCCATGACCGACAAAACAAAAAAAAAAAAGCGGGGCCTTATGCTTGTTAGGCAAGTATTCTTGCATCTTTCATTTCTTTGTTGTTGTTGTTGTTGTTAGATGTGGGGCTTGAACTCAGGGCCTGGGAGTTGTCCCTGAGCAATTTTGTTCAAGGATAGCACTCAACCACTTCTAGCCACAGCTCCACTTCTACTTTTTGAGTGGTTAATTGGAGATAATTCTCACAGGGACTTTTCTGCCTGGGCTAGCTTCAAACCACAATCTTGAGATGGATTACACTGGTGCCCAGCTTCTATTTCTCCATTTTACTCATTTCTCTCCCCATCCTAAGCCCTGGATGATTTGTAATCTATGACATTTCCAAGAATTGACTAGTAAAACCTCATTCCCTCTACTATGTATTTTATTGTGTGTGTGTGCACACGCGTGAGCGCACACGCATGCACACGCTTCTACTAGTCTTGGACTTCAGCTCAGGGCCTGAGCACTATTTCTGAGCTTTTGTATTCAAGGCTAGTGTTCTACCACTTTGAGTCACAGTTCCATTCCTGGCTTTTTTGTATTTATTTAATTCCAGTCACTTGCTTGGGCTGCCTTTGAACCACAATCCTCAGATCTCAGCCTCTTAAGTGGCTAATATTACAAAAGTGTGAGTCACTGGCCCTTGCAGTACTTTTATTATTCACCTAGAATAGAAATGGGAGATAAACTTACAAATGGATTTTTCAACCCTTGGGGAATCAGAGGTTATGGACATTATGAGGGGGAGGGATAGGCTAATAAAAGAGTAATATTCATGTCTTCTAAGTGTAGATTCTCAGCCCCACCCACACATTTGTACACTTCCTACTTTGACTCCTTTTATGGTTGTTTCCAGTCACTACTATGGCAATTGTCAACTGTCTCATTACAGGAGGGTGTTTTACTTGGCATATAGATAGTATTATAGGAGGGTTGCTTGGGTCACTCTGGAGCTGACCCATTCTGGCTAGCTCACCTAAAGGACATAACAAAATATTGGCTATTCCCCGCTCAGCCTTTTTATTCTCCTTGGCTTCAGTTTCCCAGTGTTGGTTGTTGAACATCCACAAGCCAGTTTCACCAGTCTTGACTTGGGCGTTTTCATCATAACTTGTGTAATTTTCTCTGGATATCAAGGGCACAACCCAAAATGATGATGATGCTAGAAATGTTCCAGGAAGGCCTGTGCTTACAGGACTGCCAGCTCCCAGGGTTCTGTCAACAGCCCCAGGTTTGCAGTGGAAATATCTGTGTGCCGTGGGGGTCCTCATAACAAAAGTGCCTTTCAATCTCCCATTGATGAGTCCCTGCCAAGTGTGGTGTGGTATGCTTGTAATCACAGCACTCAGGAGGCTGAGGCAGAAGGATTATGAGCTTCAAGCTAGCTTGAGCAATATAGTGAGAAGGAAGAAAAAGGGAGAGAGGAAGGGAGGAAAGAGAAAAGAAAAAGTAATAGTGTGCCAGGCCCTAGTGGCTCATACCTACCTACTTGGGAGGCTGAGATCTGAGGATACTGGTGTAAAACCAGCCTCTTATCTCCAATTACACACACACACACACACACACACAGACAAGTCAGAAGTAGAGCTGTGGTTCCCAAGGCCCTGAGTAGAGGCACAGCTCAACTTCTGGCCTTTTGGTAGTTATTTGAAGATAAGAATCTTATGGAGGCCGGGCACTGGTGGCTCACACCTGTAATCCTAGCTACTCAGGAGGCTGAGATATGAGGATCATGGTTCAAAGCCAGCCTGGCCAGGAAAGTCCATGAGACTCTTATCTCCAATAAACCACCAGGAAACTGGGAATGGTGCTGTGGCTCAAGTGGTAGAGTGCTCACCTTGCGCTGAAGAGCACAGGGACAGCGCCCAAGCCCAAAGTTCAAGCCCCACAACTGACAAAACAACAACAAAAAAGAATCTCATGGGGCTGGGAATATGGCTGAGTGGTAGAGTGCTTGCCCCACATGAAGCTCTAGGTTTGACATACACAGAAAAAGCCACAAGTGGAGCTGTGGCTCAAGTGATTGAGTGCTAACCTTGAGCAAAAAGCAGCTTAGGAGGGCTGGGAAAGTGGCTCAGTGGTAGAGTGCTTGGCTGCTTTGCATGCCTGAGGCCCTGGGTTCGATTTCTCAGCACCACATAAGCAAAAAGAAATAAGACGGAAGT